TTTGCTTACAATTGACAAACTAGAAATTAATAACAATTAATGTTTAAAAACCCCACTAACCACTTAGAAATAACCTAACACTTTCATAAACAATTTTTGGACCAAAGAGGAAATGAAAGCTGAAGTTATAGAATATTTATAAAAAGTGACTTTTATAATGTATATAAAAACTTATGGGATGTGTTCAAAGTTCTTAGAAAATGCATTGCTATAAATGGTTTCTTATTAAATAAGAAAGATAATATTTGCATGTTGTTATTGTTGTCAGTGACATTTCTGTGCCTCAGTTTCTTCATCTGTGATATGTGTGATTTTTATCTACCTCATAATTATAGGGTGTTTATTACTCTGTGCCAGAGCCTGCCTGATACATAGTAGATACTCAACAATGGTAGCTGCTGTTATCATTCATATTATTCCTAAAAAGAGTAAGAGGGAGGGATTAACAAAGATTAAAGCGGATATAAATTAGATATAAATGTGAAATTTGATAAATCCAAGCTACTTTTGGAGAAACAAAAGTGTCAAAATAGGTAACTAGCCAATCAAATAAAGAAAATAACGATACATAAAACTTGGCATTAAAGAGGCACATGACCACAGATGTGAAGAAAATTAAAGTTACTAGTGTAATATTCAACCCATACTATTAAATTGGAAATTTTACTTGAAACAGCTGCCTTTCTAGGAAAGTATAGATTGTCTGATGTAATTTAACCTGAGGGGTAAAACCTGAACTGATCGTTGACTAAAGAATACATTGAAAAAGTTCTTCAACAATTCTCTCTCCGTAAGTTTCTATATATATCTAGATGGTTTGCAGGTAGTTATTTTTAACTTTTAAGGAACAGATTTCATGCTATTTAAACTGTTCAAGAGGGGAAAAATATGGAAAGCTTCCCAATTAATTCAACAATGGTTAAAATATTCTCATGAAAAATATTAGACAAATGAAATTTAAAAAAAAGAAAAAATAGAAGGGAAGATTTCTTGTGAATATAGATGTATGAGATTCTAAACCAAATACTAGTCCCAGCAAATCCAATCCAAGCAGTCTATTAACAGAATAATTCACTACAGCCAAGAAAGAGTTACTTTAGGAATGCAAAAATGGCCAATATCAGCAAATTTATTTATTCATTCATTCAGTGTCTGTTTAAGGCTTAGTATGTGCCAGACTTTCTCTGGGGGTAGGGATAGTGTGAGGAGCAAGCTCTTACCTTGTGACCTGGCTATAGAAAGCATTCAATATGTGTTAGATATTCCTATTCCTGTTCTTATTCTCACCTATCTTCTTCTTATGGATTGTTATAGACTAGTGAGGGTGGTCACTAGGCTATGGGAGAACTGAAAGAAGGTCAGAACACTTGAATGTGTTGTGTGTGTCTGACGTGTATGCGTGTGAGAGCATGTCAGGCTGAGAGGTCATTCTGGAGAGGGAAGAAAAGATTGAATCAATACTTTGATTCTGATTTTGATTTCTTTTTCATTTTTTTAAAGACAAGGGGGCAACAGGTGAACTGGGCTTGTAATGTAACCTGTCATACATCCATGTTCCTCTTTTTTCTGCTTCTGTTTTCCTATAAAGTACACGTGGGTTGCGACAATGGATATTTGGTGAACAAACTAGTGAAAAAAATCAGTAAGTGAATGTTTCAAACAGAAAAAAAAAAAAAAGCTGAGTCATGGGTGGACTATGTCTAGGAACTTTGAGTTTATCTTATGAGCAATAGAAGAGTCACTGGAAGGTGAAGGCCATGATCGGATTTGCACTGGGGAAGCTTCTCTCTGGATAGGGTGGGGAGAATGGTTTGGAGGGGAGGCAAGTGACCATCCAGATGTGATGTGATGTGAATGGTGCCCCCAGAACTGTGTAAACCAACAGTCCCAATGGGAATTATATCAGGGTGTCTTACACTAAAGATAGAGAAAAATGGGTAGAAAGTGTCAAAATATCTGGAGAAATTGACATGAAGGATAACCCAAAACATCAATGAATAAGAGATGGTTTTACTGCTGATGAAATGCAAATAATGGTAAACTTTCAAAATGACTTTAAAGTAAGTATATTTAAGATCCTAAAAAGATAAAGAATAAATAGCATCTAGAGAAGGGATAATGAATTATGACAGAATGAATGATTAGAAATGAGTCAAAGATGAATACACGTGGGTATAAAAGGATAACAATTGGATTGTTGGAAATAAAAAATAGTTGTTGAAATAAGAAAACTCAATACATTAGGATAAAATCTAATCTGTTCTGTTCAAAGAGTGAACTTATGGATTGGAAGATAGTCTGGAGGAGTTAATCTAGAACATAGCTCAGATAGAGGGACCAAGTATATGAGAAAGGAGATAACACATTTGCATAATGGACTGAGAGTCCCTTAGAATTTGTCTTAAAGATTTAAAATAAAGACATGAAAAAAGATATGGGAAAACCTAAGAAAGGCAATGTAACAACATTAATAACAGAGTAGAATTTCAATAAAAAGCATTAGCGGAGATAAGGGGAGTTAGAAGTTGGTTTCATCTTCACACTGAGCTGTGTGCTTACTCCTGGCCTTAATTAGTAATGACGTTTTTTAGACTCCCGATTGCCTTACTCTTTTTTATTTTGTTTCTCAATTTGTTCAGAATCCAGGCAGGGAAAGATGTCTTTTGTTGACCCCCTCAGATTCCTCAACTCACATGATGATAAAGAGCACAATCTACCAAGAAGATGGAACAGTCGTGAACTTGTACTTAGTGACAACTTTGAACTTAAGGAGGCGAAAACTGACAGGAACATAAGGAGAAGTAGACAAATCCTAGTGGGAGATTTATAAATTTATGTAATTTATATATTATAGTGGGAGATTTCACAACATTTCTCAGAAACTGATGGACCAAGTGAAGAAAAAAATTGTGAGCATATAGAAGATTTGAACTAAACAATTATCATATTTAATCTTGTCATATACTTCCCTGATCAGCAGCAGGGAAAAAAAAACATTCTTTTTCATGCCTACGTGGAACATGGAATTTTAAGTTAATATGTTAATTCAACAGATTTCAAATAATTCATATTATGTAGATTATGTTCCTTGTATATAAGGCAATTAAATTAGAAATCAAATATTAAAGTACTGAGGGAAAAAACTCATGTATTTGGAAAGTTAAAAAAAAAGCTTAAATCTCTCATGGGCTAAAGAGGAAATCACAAAAGAAATGACAAAATATTTAGAATTACATGACAATGAAAATACTACCTATCAATGTGTGGGATGCAGTTAAAAAGGTACTTAGAAAAAGATGTATAGTTTTAAATGCATTTATTAAAAAAGAAGAAAGATTAAATGAATAAGCATGCAGGTCAAGAATTAGAAAAAAATAGAAAAAAAGCAAAGAAAATGGAAAGAAATGAAGACAAGAACAAGCAGGAGAAGTAGAAAGAGAAAATAAAAAAGGGTGGAGACAATTAGCAAACCCAGAAGCTATTTCTTTGAAAAAAGTTAATACAGCAGGGGTCTCCCTGGTGGCTTAAGGGTTAGGTCTCAGCGCTATCCCCTCTATGGCCTGAGTTCGATCCCTGGCTAGGGAGCTAATCCACATGGCACAGCAGTCTCTCCTGTCTCGCCCGCTGCTCCCCTCAGCAGAGTATTTCAGTTGATCTGCCTGTTCTGCTCCCCACTCTGTCTCTGGTGAATCCACTCACCCCTCTGTACCTCTGGCCTACACCCCTGTTCTTGTATGCATAAATCTTTAAAAAAATTAATAAAACAGATAAACCTCCAGTTAAGACTGATTGAGGAAAACAGAAAAGATACAGATAGTGTTTGAGTAATAGCGAAAGAGATACAACTACAAATACAGATGAAATCCTCAGAGGATGCAAAAGCAACTTTATATGCATTTGATAAATCATTTTATAGAAAAACAAATCACCAACTTTGACCTTATAGGAAATAGAAAACTTAGACATTCGCCACTGAAGAACTGACTTGGTGGCCAAAAATATCCTGCCACAAAAAAACAGGCTCACAGATTTCACAGGTGACTTTTAGGGGATACACTACCTTTAGAGGCATTTAGAAAATGCCCATGTTCTATGAACTATATCCAAGGATAAAGACTTCCTAGCAATTTGTGAGCTGGATTAACACCTTGATATCAAAGCCTGACAAGGGAGGTACAAGAAAAAAAAAGAGGCCAGTGTTGTTATTAAACCTAGATATGAAATTCTAAATAAAATATTAACAAATCAGCAGGATATTAAAAAATAATACATTGTAAGCAAGCAGAAGAGACGGTTCAACTGAAATGTTATCCACCAGGTTAACAGATTAAAAGCCACCATACGATTATCTCATCAGAAGCAGAAACGCATTCAGTAAAATTCAACACTTTCATAATGTGCTAAATGAATCAGGGGAACAGGCTAAATTTAGAATCTTAGGGTGAATCCCTTTACAAAGTGACTTATTCTATTTATATTTTGAATAAATCCAGATTTTCAGATATTAGATTTTCTTCTCATAATGGTTTAATTGCATATGAGAACCCAAATTTATCCAGAAACTGTGCCCAACTCTTTGGAAGAACACACAAAAAATCCCCAAACAAACCAAAAAATAATGGTGAATTTGAAGGTGACTATTTGCATTTCCCATATTTCAGATGCAGGCAGTTTTACCAAGCAGGGCCTTTAAAAATCCAACTAGAGTCAAAATAAGGGGGGAGGTGCAATTGTATGGGGAATATAACCAAAACGAAAATGCATACATTGTGCAAAGATGAAAAAAGATGTAAGAATTATATAAAATAAAATATTTAAATAAAAAAATCCATCTCATAAGAGGCACTTAGGTAGGATTCCACTTTCCCACCCTTTGAGTGAGGGGGCCCACACACAGGTTGGGTGAAATGAGGCAGGTTGGTTTGCTGTGATCTCTGCACCTTCCTTACTCACCCTGTTTCTCGTGGGCCCCCTTTTCTTACTGCCATCTGTTTGTGCAGGTCCAAACTGAAGACAGTGCATGAGCGGATCCCTTTGGCTGGACTGAGCAAGTTGCCCAGTGTCCCTCAGATTGCAAAGGTAAAAACCTACCCCTGTTATAAACCATTGCTATCTCCATAAAGGAGAAAATTTACTCCTTAAATAGCTGGCCTCCGGTGGGGGTGAAGGCTTGTCCTGGGTGGGCTCTGCCCAGGAGCAGGGAAGGCTATTGTATTCCTTCACCCTTGACTGCATAGATGGAGTGGGGGAGGGTTTGGCAGACACCCCCATCTCTTCTCCAGCCTCCTCATCTCTTCCTTTTTGCTGAGGCTGCTCTGGGAACAGTAAAATGTATGGTCTCCGCCCCCGAGTTCACAGCTAGTTCAAGAGACAAGAGAAATGGAACAACAGGGCAGGGGATGGAGAATGCTGTGGGAGGATGGGGTGGGGGTGGCTGAGGACCCCTCTAGTAAAGTGCTATCAACTGATGGTGGGGCCTATGTCACTGCTCTGGGCTATTGGGAACTTGGGTTAGACTCACACTCTGGGAGTGGAAGGCCAGGTAGGATTGTGTCGAACACCTTCATTGGTCTAACTTCATTGGGAAACCTCCGGAAGGTTAATTGACTTTTCTGGCCACATGGCAATGAGTTGCAGAGCCAGGACTTCCTCCAGGCCCCCTTAACCTATACGTTATGTGCTCACTCTTGGTAAGGAGTTCAGATGCTCTCCATGTACAAGGCCCCTGAACTCTGTTTTTCTATTCCTGCTTAGGCTTTCTGTGATGACGCAGTGGGACTGAAGTTCAACCCTGTCCTGTACCCCAAGGTGAGAACCTTTACCCCTTCCCTGGCCCCACCTGCAGCTCAGGACAGCTTTGTGCACCTATGGCTCTATGGGAAGTTTTCTGTGCTCACCCCTTGACAAATTGGTCCACTGGGAATACATCCTTGCCTTGCCTGGGTCCCTGCCCATTTGAATTGGTGCCCAGCTATTGTAGTAGGGGTCTGGTAGTGTGGGCTGGTTGTACCTCCCTCAGGCCAGTGTTGGGGTGGTGAGTGATTCTACCTATAGCTGGGGGACTGGTGGCGATTTGGTCAGCCAGCATGGAGGGGAGAAGGGGCAGAAGGCAAAACCCCACCAGGGAATAAGAGGCCAGACTGTGGCTCCCCATGGCCAATGTTACTGCAGTGCTGAGGCCTTATAAGCCTCTTCGGGATGTTTATTGGCTGGTTCTCTGTGATCAGTTTCCTCAGGACTGGCCTGATCTTGGTCCCAGTTCTGTTGTGGGGTATGGATCAATAGTAACAAAACAAACCAAGGAACCCACTCAAGAATAGCTGTAGCATGCATGGTGAATTGCTTTAAATTGACCACAGGAGGGAACCCAGTGCTTTAAATTGACCCAGGAGGGAACCCCGGAGGGACTGCTTCTTATGAGCCAGTAGGGCCTGGAAAGAGAGGCAAAGGCTGTGTCTGTGAGCTTCTGAGCCATTGCTGTGGTGGCTGGGAGCTTGCTGGAGCTGGTCCATGCATTCCCTGAGTCCAGTGTGATAATCAGGACTCATCAGGTGGGGAAGAGAGCCCTTTCCTGGCTGGGACATCTAGAACCCTCTGGAACAAATATCTCAAATGTTCAAGCACACATGACCTCTGTCCACATGCAGGGGCTCAGAGAATGTGCCAGAACCCTTCTTTCAGACACCTCTTTTTAGCCCCCTGAGCATCTGTGCACACTTACTAGTAATTTGCTGCACTCCACTGAACATTTTCCTCTTTATAATTAAAGTCGAAATAGTGAGGTTTAACCAAACATTAAAACCCATCATAAAGGCCTAACTTAACTACAAGTTTGGCAGTTTTTGTTATCAAATCATGTCCTCTGAGAGAGCCCAGTGACATTCATTTACATAGTGCTAACTTGGAAAGCCTCTGGCTCTGGTGATAAAATAGAAGAGCAGCTGCACTTTCATGTTTTCTATATCCGAAGGCCTGCTTGGTCCAGCGAGGATGTTAATCTGGCCGAGATCTGCATGTGTGTTTTTAAAATTTGCAGAGCTTGGAACGTTCCTTGGATGGTCACCATGGCTGGGTGCCTCCTCCCTGGCAGGGGAGCTGTTCTGTCCCTTTGACTCATCCCAGGCGGAGGTGGGGGCCTCCCTCTGGGATAGGGCAGTGGACCTGTAGCAGGGGCATCTTCATTTCCAGGAGCAGCCGGGAGTCTCACAGATACACAATGATGTGACCTAATGGGGCCACAGAGTCCACCAACACATTGTGCCTGGCTTGTGCTTCCCCTCACATAACACATGGCCACATCTCTCCTTTTTATTGCTGGGCATGCTCCAAGATCACCCAGGTGTCCCCTTCCAACAGGCTGGTTTGGCTTTTATCTTTCTGGAGGGTCAGGTGGCGATGGTGGTGCTGCTGTGCTTTGCGCTTTATGTGTCTAATCTTACTGAATCTTCACAACCAAACATGTCCATGGAACAGAAGAGGAAGGAGGCCCAGGGAGATTAAGTGGCTTGTTCAGATCTACCTAAGTGACAGCAATGGATTCAAAATCTGAGTTTAGTGTTTCACCAACTCTTGGAAGCACAGCAGGAAATTAGGATCAGTGGTCAGGGCTTTTTTTTTTTTTTTCCTTTGCCTGTCATATTAGGGTGTGTTCCTCAGAGTGGTCTGCTTTGAGGTCTCTCAGTCTATAGATGGGGACTGAAGTCTGGGCAGGAGCAGAGCCGTGCTCATAATCGAACAGGAGAACCTTGTTTCATTGCATGTTGCAGATACGTTTACATGTTGAAGGTTTGTGGCCCTGTGCTGAGCATTTTGTCCAACAGCATGTGCTCACTTCATTTTTCATGTTTTAGCAATAGAGTATTTTTTTTTAAGTGAAGGCGTGTATATATTTTTTGGGACATAATACTGTCGTACACTTTAGAATATAGTGTAGTGTAAACACATGTTGTATATGTACTGGGAAGCCAAAAAATTCTTGTGACTCACTTTATGATTGTACTGGTTTTCTTGTGGTCTGCAGCCAAGCTACACCATCTCTGAGGTGTGTCTGTGCTGCTGATCAGAGGGGCATTTAGAGCTGGTGCCATGGGACCCTCACGGACCAGTTTTGGGGCCCTGGCTTCCCTTTTTACACCAAAAATAGGACATTGGGGTACAATCAGTTTCCTGAGTCCTGCTGGACTCCCTGTGTGCCCAGGTGGGCCCATCTGGATGGGAATGGAGGGTGATGCAGAGGTTTGGTCTCTACTGGAAGAAGCTCAGTCACTGGGAACTAGCTAAGGCCTGTGGAGTGTCATCCTGCCACCTGCTTCTGACTTCACCCTTTCTTCTCCTCCACTGGTGTGGGTGCCTCAGATCCCAGGGCACGTTCCTTACTGAAATGGGGACCTCCCCTTCCACTCGCTTCCTCGCTGGCCTCCTAGTAAGTAAACAATCTGATTGATTCTTCTCACATTTCCCAGGCCTCCCAAATGATCGTGTCCTACGACGAGCATGATGTCAACAACACATTCAAATTTGGGGTCATCTATCAAAAAGCCAGGCAGGTAAGCATCATAATCCATGTTGGGTACTCTATCTTGGGGTTTCTCATTGAGGACCTTTACCCACCTCCCCCAAGCACAAGAACCCTGTACTAGGTTCTTAAACATTCTGAATATAATGATCACCTTCTAGGTATAAATTTGATTGGAGGTGGCAGTATCTTCAAGGGAGACTGCTCCTCACAAAAAAGTCTGCAAATCCTTTCAATAGTAATTCAGCAAATTATAAATTCTTCCTGGCCAACTCAGTTTATGTTGGTCACAAGGAAAATCTGACTGGATAGAGGCAAGTGGATTAGCAAGAGCTGCTCTCTCCTTGCCTGCCATTCTCCTAGCTGGGAATAGCAGTCCCCCATCATCCCCCCAAAAAAAACAAACCAAACTTCAGTAGTGTGCTGGAGCCAGCTATGTACATCTTTTTCCAGCTCTGTTAAGAGATGTCATATTAGTAGCTTGAACCAGCCTTGGTGGAAATATTTATACCATGGAAACTGGCCAACACCAAGACTTCTATTTTTCTTCTTTGAAGAGCTGGTAGGTAAAAAACATTCTCACTTTGCCACTGCTTTCCCTACTCCATCTCTTTTAGCATTTATCTGCTGCTGTGGAGTGAGTTGGCCAGAATAATGTTTCTCAAAATGTATTCCATAGGACACTGGTCTGGGGGCATTCTGAGCAGATGCCTAGGAGAGGGGTCAGTTGTGTGGGAACATTTTAAAGACTCCAACCCCCCATGTTAAGAGCTCTTTATAATTTGGTTGAACTCAATGTTCCCCATACTTACTTGACCACAAACTTCTCATCTTTCCTACCATGAACATTTATTAACATCTTGCTGAACACACTGATATTTCCTTACCTGGGTTGTTTGAAAGAAGGTTCCACACCCGTTTTATCTTTGTATCATCCAAGAGCCTACCCTGCTGGCTTTATATAAATACAATCATAATTTTTTGCTATATTATCTATGTTATTAATGAATGAATAAAGGTTTTGGCCCTGCTGATTATAGGTTGATTGCATCTTCCAATATTATCCGTGTTTTTATTTTTTTGGTGTGTGTGACAGTGTCTTGGCTAGATGATAGCTGATTTCCTTCTCCGAAGATATTAGCCCACAAGAGACAAGCATTCACTAAAAACACTCTAATTAAGTCAAGAGTTTATGAGTTAAAGACCAACAAGGATGAATCTTATAATTTGAGTGAAATTATTCAGGTAGCCGCTCTAATTATTTTCACATATTGCATTTTTATTTTGTACAGCTCTGCTAATATAACTCCCCTAATTAAAGTTCTTTGCTTGTGAAATTTACCAAAGCAGATCTTATAAGGTGATTACAGTCCAATGTTCCAGCAAAGTTATAATTACTGAACATTAGCCATCCACCTCTGAGAAGGAGTCTATGCGATGGTGGTGATGTACCTGATGTTGTGGAGGTGGGGGTGCACAGGGAGATAAGAGTCTTTAAAAAAAAAAACTTGGCACATTGTTGTTTAGCAAACCTATAGTTAGTGCACATTTTAATGTGAACATTTGTTACATGAAAATCCTATGCTGGTCTTAGATTATAAATAAGTCCCATTTAACTCTCCTGTTTGCCAGGCCCTGTGCTAAGCGCTGTGGGGGATCCAGGATGATGTACACCCCCTCCTTGAGTGCATGGTAAAGCTCAAGTCCAGTATAAATATAAGGACAATGCTGAGTAGGGTCTTGGAGAGAGGGGCCCACCCACAGCCTAGGTTGGACTGTATCTCCACTAGACCGGGCTGCCCGGAAGGAGCTATCCTCCCACACTCTGGCCTCATGACTTGGGACAGGCAGGATACTGGATTGTGATACCTTCATGGCATGCTTTGTCTATAAAGATCAGATAATAAAATATTTTAGGTTTTGAGGGTAATATTGCCTCTGTGGCAACCACTGCACCCTACCTCTGTAATGCAGCCACAGACAATATGTAAATGAGTTGGCCTTGCTGTGTTCCAATAAAACTTTATTTATAAAAACAGGCTACTGGCCAGACTGGGCCCATAGACTATAGTTTGCTGACCCCTGCTAGAGAGTGGTGTTTCCCAAACTTTACACGTTCATAAACCTCACTGAGGATCTGTACCATAGTGTTTGTTCTACCATATTTCACTGCCAGAATTTTTATCATCACTCTGCTGTTTGTTATTTTCTTTGAAAAAATGCTTCACTTAAATGTATTTATTTTATTTATTTTTTTGAAGATTTATTTATTTATTTATACAAGCACTGGGTATAGTCAGAAGCGCAGGAGGGTGAGAGAATTCACCAGAGCCAGAGCAGAGCAGGCAGAAGGACTGAAGCACACTGCTGAGGGGAGCAGCCAGTGGCAGGAGAGGTCTGCACGCCATGCGGGACCCTCCTCCGGTGGCTGGGGAGCAGCCGGGGATCGAAACGGCGCTGCAGAGGCTGCGGGCAGCTTCGCAACCCAGCGCTCAACCGCTGCGCCACCGGGGAGGACCTAAATGTATTTATTTTAAAAGAAAACTTTATAACAATACTAGAAAATCAACATCACTTGCATGAAACAAAGGCAATTCTAAACTGAAATGCTATTAAAAAAAGTTATTGAAATCTAGATTCTGTTGCTTATTGAAAGCTTGGAACCTGAGGTCTATTCTTTTTTATAATATAGAAGGTGTTTAAGAGGTGTTAAAGAATCACCTATTAGAGACTTTCTAAGACTGGGCAGACTGGAGTATCTTTGTGTCATCTGGAGTCTTTCCTTTCCATCTCTATGGATGTTGGCAGAGCCTTCAGCTGTTTGCAGAGCCTGCCAACAGAACCTACTTACCAGGCAGGACCGCTCAGTGTTTTAAGGCTGTTACAATTGCAGAGCTTACTACTGTTTTCAGTTTTCCTTTCTATTTTTAAAAAATATTATTCAATTTTTATTTTTGTATCTTTGTAGATTTACATGCAATTGAAAGAAATCATACAGAGAGATCTTATGTACTCTTTACCCCCAGTGATAATGTCTTAAGAAATTGTAGCACAGTATCACAGTCAGGATATTGACATGGATATAATCCATGGATTTTACTCTGGTATCCTTAATTTTACACGTACTCTTATATAGGGCTGTATGTCTTTCATTATATATAATTTTATCACATGTGACGGTCTCACAGTCAAGATACAGAAGAATTCCCTCAACAAAGGGTTGCCACGTAACTCTTTTATAATCATGTCGCCCTCCCTCTGCCTCCATGTTCCCTTCTCCACTTCAGTAACTAACCTTTGGTAACCACTCGTGTGTTCTTCAGTTTTAAAATTTTGTCACTTAAAAAATGCCATAAAATGGGGCCTCTCTGGTGGCGCAAGGGGTTAAGATGCAACCTAGGAAGCTATCCACAGCCACTGCAGCATGAGTTTGATCCCCAGCCAGGGAGATACCCACATGGTGCAGCAGACCTCGCCTGTCTTGCCCCACTGCTCCCCTCAGCAGTGTATTTCAGTCAGTCTGCCTGTTCTGTTCCCCACTGTCTCTGGTGAATCCTCTTATTCCCCACACCTCTGGCCGCCTGTACTCCAGTTCTTGTATGCATAAATAAATAAATCTTTAAAAAAAAACTTCCATTAAAAAAATGCCATAAAATGGAACCATAGAGTAGATATCCTTTAGGGATTGACTTTTTTCCACCCAGCAGGATTCATCCAAGTTCTTGAATATATCAATAGCTCATTCTTTTTTATTACTAAGTAGTATTCCATGGCTTGGATGTACCACAGTCTGTTTAACCATCACCCAGTGAAGAGCATCTAGGTTGTTTCCCAATTTTGGGCTATTATGAATAAAGCTGCTATGATTATTTGCATACAGGTTTTTGTGTGAACATAAGTTCTCATTTCTCTGGGATAAATGTCTAGGAGTACAATTGCTGGATTACATGGTAATTACATGTTTAGTTTTGTAAAAAGCTGCCAAGCTGTTTTCTAGAGTGATTGTTCCATTTGCCATTCCTCCCAGCAGTATGTGAGTGAACCATTTTCTCCACATGATTCCCAGCATTTGGTGTTGTTACCATTTTTTCATTTTAGTCATTCTGACAGATGTGTAGTGATATCTCATTATGGTTTTAATTTGCATTTCTCTAATGGGTAATGATGTTGAACATCTTTTCATGTGCTTATTTGCCATCTGTATATCCTCTTGGGTGAATGACTGTTCATGTCTTTTGACCATTTTCTAATTGGATTTTGTTTTTAAGTTTTTGATTTTTTTAAATAACAGCTTTATTGAACTATAATCCACACACCATGCATTCCACAATGGTATGTGAATTACATTTCAATAAAATATATAATTGAGTGACTTTTGGTCTATTTAGAGTTATGCAGTCTATTTAGAGTTATGCCTATCTAACTCTAGGCAATTTCATCACCCTTCCCCCTAAAGAAACTTTATACTCATTAGCAGTTACTTGTCATTCCTGCTTTCCCTGGCATTTGTCAACCACAAATCTACTTCCTTTCTCTATGGATATGCTTGTTCTGGACATTTCCTATAAAAGGAATCTTAATATGTATTCTTTTGTGTCTAGCTTATTTCACTTAGCATAATGTTTTCAAGATTCATCTGTGATGTAGCATGAGTCAGGGTGTCATTTCTCTTTATGACTGCATAATATTCCATTGTTTGCTTATACCATATTGTGTTTATACATTTGTCAGTTGATTGCCATTTCAGTTGTTTCCATTTTAGGGCTGTTATGAATAATGGTGCTTGAGCATTTGTGAATACCTTTCTGGGCGGACATTTGTTTTCATTTCTCTTGAGTATATACTTAGAAGTAAATTGCTGGGTCTTGTGGTAACTAACTCATTATTTAACCTTTTGAAGAACTTCGACTGTTTTCATAAGCGACTATATCCTTTTGCATTCTTATGCAGTGTATGGGATGAGAGTGTTGATTTCTCCATACCTCACCAAGACTAGTTGCCTTTCTTTTTGATTATATTTACTCCAGTTGGTGTGAAGAGGCATCTTATTGTGGTTTTGTTTACTGTTGAGTTTTCAGGGTTCTTTTTATATTCTACATGCCAATCTTTTGTCAGAACTCCAACTGATAACTTTTCATTTATGGATTGTCTTGGTATCAAGTCTAAGGGCTCTTTGCTTCAAATTTGCTTTTTGTAGTGAACAAAATGTTTTGCACAAATAGGAAATCCTTATTAGCCAGCCTCCCAAATGTAGCTCTGTTAAGTGGGCCTCTCTCAGTCCTTCCTCTATTCGAGGACAGATGTTTTGGGGGATGGGGAGAAAGAAGCCTGTTTCTAACTCCTGCCTCTGTTCCTGTTTTTCTTTCAGACCCTGGAGGAAGAGCTATTTGGCAACAATGAGGAAAGCCCAGCCTTCAAGGAGTTCTTGGATCTGCTGGGGGATACGATCACACTGCAAGATTTCAAAGGGTCAGTTTTAGCCAAGTGATGGGTCAGGCCCATTGATGAGGCCCTAAAAGAATGAGGAGCAGACAACTGAATTTCTGGGGGAACGTGAGAGAATTAAAAACACACACAAAGAACATGGGAATTATTTTTTACACTCATGTACCTGTATTTCTAAGGAAACAGTAGTTCAAGGGATAACTTAGAGTGGCAGGTTACCTGAAAGGCATTGCCATTTGACCTTAGGATGCACGATGAAATTGCACTCTCTTAGATTTTCCTTCCAAATTACATCAGGTTCAGACTGAGAATGAAATAAACCCACCTTCCCTATCACTCACCTGTCAGGTATTTGCGAAAGAGAGCCTTGTGCAGTATTTTAGATATTACACAAAAGGGTGGATAATTAAGAGTTGGTATAAATAGTTCCTCTGGCAGGAATCTCTGCAAAGGTCTGTGGTTAGACAGAAAGGCTATCTAGGCTACTGCTTGGAACTCTCTGGCTTTGATTTGGGAACAGCCTTCAGACCTGCCATCCTGTTCTGTACTTTGTGACCGGCACATGCAGAGCCCCCAGTTTCCCACTCTGGCAGCCCCATCACCATGCTCTCCTAATGTGTGAAAGCACCTAGCTCCATGCCTGGTGTGTAGTGGGTGTGTGCGATTCACGTTCTTCCTCTGCATGCCTCTCCTTTTTTCTTTTTTTCTTTCTTCCTGTCTTCTTCTCCCTTCACAGCCACCATTTCTGTCTGGGGTCAGTTGCTCGGAGGTTAAAATCCCACCTTTACCATATATTAGCTCTATGACTCTGCAAGCTGCAGTTTCCCCATCTGTAAAAAGGGAGCTGAAAGTAGCACTAACCCCTCAAGGTTGCTGGGGATTAGAATAGCTGATGCACGTGAAGCACTGATCTCAGGCCTTCCTTGCACAGAATATGCATTGGTGGTCGTTGTGGTTAGATGCCACCTTGCCTTACTCTGGGATGCCATCGCTACAAACGCATCCTGATCTCAGGGATGTTAGAGTGTAAGAAAGTGCATTTTAGAGTATGTGAAATGAAGTCTTTTAAAACCAGGAAGGTGAGGTCTCCTTGGTGGTGCAAGGGGTTAAGACTGAGCACTATGAAGCTATCCAGTCACTGCAGCATGAGTTTGATCCCTGGCCTGCTAGGGAGCAACCCACATGGCACAGCAGACCTCTCCTGTCTTGCCCGCTGCTCCCCTCAGCAGTGTATCTCAGTCAATCTGCCTGTTCTGCTCCCCACTCTGTCTCTGGTGAATCCCCTCACCCCCCGCACCTCTGAACTGTACCCCTGCTCTTATATGCATAAATAAATAAACCTTTAAAAAAATAGAATCAGGAAGGACCTCAGAGGCCATGTAATCCTATCCCTTTATTTTATAGAGAAAGGAAACTGAGACCTACAGAAATTACGTCACTTGCCCACGATCAGGGCGTGGTTTTGTGGCAGAAGCAGGTCGAGAACCTGAGCGCCTGACGCCTGGCCTGGTGTGCTATCCGCACATTTTCTGGCTTGTATCACCTAGCTGGGGGGAAGGGGAACTGGTGGCCAGGGTCTGTTTTATTTCATTTTCCTAAAGGAACCTGTATCCTCTACCCCCACTGAAGGGTATGACTCAAGGCTAGCAGCCCCATTTCTATAAAGGAGGAAGGTGCAGCAGCTCCCACAAGTCCACCCAGTTCCTTAGTACTTTTCCCTCCTGTCTGGAGATAGTTAGGGAAGGGACCTACTTGGATACTTCCAGATGGGTCTCTGTCTTGGGGACTAGGTAGAAGTCAAGCATTTGTCACTTCTGGCTGACAACAGATGGTCCTATGGGATTCACCACCATCCAACAGGATGGCCGCTTGCCCTGGCTCTGGGCTGAGGACTTGGACATGGCCTTGCAGAGAGCAAAGGCTTGTGCCCAGCCTAGGAAGCCACTGACACAGCATTTGCCTGGGATTATAGATAGGTGACCTCTCTTCCATGCAAGTTTATGGTGTGGAGAAGACCCAGTTGAGGTTTGGAATGGAGTTTCTGCCTTTGTCTTTTAAATGATGGGTTTATGGTTAGAATGCCAGGGCTCATCTCAGAAGAGCAAATCTACTGGCTTTCCCTGAATGGCAGTCTCTGCCCTAACTCTCCTGGGTCTTCTCACTTGTTTTCCTACTCCTATATCCTTAGGAAAGTTCATGTCATCTCTTTCCCTCACCTCTTTCTTTCATCTTTTTCTCTCCCTGGTACCTGCCCTGTTTTGCTGACAGCTTCCGAGGAGGCCTGGATGTGATCCATGGACAGACGGGGCTGGAATCAGTGTACACAATATTCCGGGACAGGGAGATCATGTTTCACGTCTCCACAAAGCTGCCATTTACAGAGGGAGACGCCCAGCAGGTAACCTGGTTTGGGAGGGCGCTGGGGCCTGGGGCGTGTGAGGTGAGAGCCTGCTTCTGGGCTGAACTACCTGAGGGGCCTCAGCCCTCTCCCTATTTTCGTGATGAAGAGGCCAGTCTGTCCAGCTGTGTTCTTGTCCAGGCTGGTTCTGTCGAGTTGTTTGCCCAAGGCCGCACGTCAGCAGCCACCTGCGGAAGGTGGGACGAGCAGGACAGGGCTCGTAGCTATTCCACTCTGACCCATGGGGAACTGCATCCCAGCGTAGTTAAGCCTGCCAACTGACTAGGGGCAGGTTGGGAGCAGAGCCCAGGGGCCCCAATCATACAGGGTGGTGCAGATAGCCACTAGCAGCCAGCTCTGCCCCTACGGGGTATGTGATTATGGGCAAGCCCGTTAATCTGTGCCCTCATCTTCCTCACCTGTCAAATGGGCATAACACCATTGTCTACAGAAGCTGGTTGTGGGGGATGTCATCAGATTCTGAATGGCAGGCAGGCTTCTGACTAACAGCAGAACAGCTGTTTGCCATTCAGGCCGCTAATGATTTTGTCCCTCCGCACCCCCCCCCCCCCCCCGCCCTCGCCTGCCCCAATCATGTAGAACTGGTTTTTGCACGAGACTCTGCCCTGTCCCAACACTTCTAGCCTTAACCACTTCTAGGTCTCCCTGCCCTGCATTTAGGAATTCAGACTTTCCTTCAAACAGAGCCCCGGGTGAGTCCTCTGTGTCCACTCTTTCCTTGCTCTCCCTCTCAATAGCTGCTTCTGATGGTCTGTCTCCAGGGAGGGCCTGGTTTTCCTTTGAGCCCCAAAACCAGCAGCTGGGCCACGCACCATTTACCTCATCCTACTCTTTGTGCCTTTTCAGTCTCTAGAAAACAAGAACGGAAGGTGGGCCTTGTCCACATGCTGACCCATTTGTTTCTGAGCAAGAAACTGCGGTGGGAGCACAGATGTAATATTGTAAACATAGAGCCTGGCTTCTTAGGAAAAAAGGAAATTGGCAAATGAGACTGTGACTTGGCTCTAAAAGAATGACTGAATGTTCCAGAAACAAATGGGAGCAGGATTCCTTTTGTGATCAAAGTAGGTTTATGCTCAGCATTTCACCTTCGCTCTGTGTTCCCTCATGGGTCCACCCGTCCCAGCCTGAGGCATAGGGCTGCTCCTTCCTGGCTCTCTTTTGGTCTTACCTGTGTAAGTGGGAAATATACCTTGGCACAGAACTTGGCTTTTGGCAAGGACTAAATAAATAATAGTTTTCCCTTACCAAGAAATGGGATGATGTGTGTGGAATAAGTGAGACAATTTGTGTAGAAGTGCCCAGCATGGTCTGGATATATAGCAGGTGCTCAGCATATGCAAAACACTGGGCCTGCATGCAGTAGTGCCTTGTAAAGGCACAGATATGTAGGTAAGTGCCTGACCAGGGCTGGGTGTACAGGGGGGCCTTAACATTTGAACAGCCCAGCATGGTTTCTGACACACAGTAGGTGCTGCTGCTTGAGATGGTGTGTGAAAGCTCCAGGCGCAGTCTGGGAAACTGAATCAGGGGTTGGGTGTCTTTCTCCCCATGACTTCCACCAAGACAGTGGGCCGTGTTTCTCCACACAGGGTCTTCTCCCCTGTGGTATAGAAGGATCCGCTCCTCGTCCATGCTCATCCACATTTCCATCAATCCCAACCATCCCTCCCCCTCCTCCTCTTCCAGGAAGTCTTCTGAGATTACCACCAACCCTCTGTGGTCTTCTGCCCACAGAGCTGTCTGGTGCTTCATATGCAGCAGTTGATTTAGCACTTGCTGGCTTGTGGCTTTGTGTTCTCAGGTGGCTTCACCTGTGTTTGTCTTGCCTGGATCAGTTACAGGCTCTACAAAACGTGGCCTCCCCTTTTCACTGTAATGAGTCCTGAGTCAGGGCTGTATATTCTGTAGAGCTCAGTAAAGTGCTTGCTTACCTCTTCCTTGCAACTTAGGCATTTTCTCCATTTTTTCCCCCTTTTTTGGTGACTTCTAAAGATTGAAGCAAAACCTCCCTGGAGAGTTAGGTCTCAGAGTTCCAGGGTTTAGGTATAAAGATAGAATATGAGGAATTTCCTGTACAGATCTATTCTGCTTCCAGGATGTTCCTAACTGGCTCATAATCATGGAACACTTTGTTTAGCTGCAGAGAAAGAGACACATTGGGAATGACATCGTGGCCATCATCTTCCAAGAAGAAAACACACCGTTTGTCCCAGACATGATCGCCTCCAACTTCCTACATGCCTACATTGTGGTGCAGGCCGAGGGCCCGGGCCCCGAGACTCCAACCTACAAGGTAAGGAGAAAGTCTTGTGGTAGTCACTGGTGGCCCAGATGCCTCAGCACACCTGATGCCTGCAGCAGTGTCAGGGAACACCAGTTCTCCAAAGCTCCGCGAACCATTCTCCAAAAAGGCACTCTTGCTTTGGTGCAGTGGATTTTCCAGTTCTCAGGCTCCTGGACTTGGGAACTAGACTCTTGGTGGAGAGCACCTTCTGAGGTCACCTCACGGGTGAGCACCGCCAGGCTCAATAGCATCTGACTTGAGGATGGAGGAGCCTGGTGCCCTTATTTGAAACTGGACGATGCCACTTGCTAGAGTAAGGCTGAACCAGAGGAGAGAGAAAAAGAAAGTGGAGAGGACTCTCAGGAAAGGGAGAGGAGGAAGGGTGGAAGCAAAGGGAAGCAAGGAAAGGCAGCTATGTTGGTGGGGAGAAGGTGCAGAGCAAGGCCCCTGCTTGAACTTTGACCTCTGGTTTAACTGTTGTGGGCAAATGATCTTAATTTAAAGATGTCCAAGGGGACAGTGTTGCGAGCACCTGGGTCTAAGCCTCCTGACCAACAAGTGATCTGGCAGGTTGGCTCAAAATCCTCACTAATACAGACAAGCCCATCTTCCTCCGCTGCCTCACTACCTACTTCTGACTACTGTATCGGTAACCCCCACACCCCTCCTTCCTCACAAGAAACAATCCCAAACTCTTGGGCAACTGTTGGTATCATAATGGTGTTGGGACTAGACGTCTTTACCACATCTTCCCAGCCACAGTCTGTGGCCCAGAAGGAAATTCCAGCTGTCACTGGCCCCCATCCCTAGGAGCCCCTCCTCTCCCTGTCTGAGGTCACCCTGCTGCTACTCCTGACTTCCTGCAAAAGTCTCGGGAACCGCTGTCCTTGGAGAGGTGTGAGCAGCCGGGCCTGTGGGAAGGGCAGGGCCTTCTCCAGAATGCACCACCTGCCAGGTAGACACTGAGGCCAGAAGGAAAGACCTGTCAACAGAGGCTAGAGGGGTGGGAGTTGTTGGGGAGACCAACCTTCTGAGGTACTCCCCCAAATTCTGTCCATCCAGGCAGCACCCCAGGGGAGGAGCAGACTGAGGAGGACCTGGTTAGATCCCTCAAGGGATCTAGGGTGAAACGACCTACGGATTTAGAGGCTGTGGCAAAGGAAGTTGGGATTTCCCCAGGGGCCAGTGTCCCAGGAGGCCTCTGCTGGGAAGGATGAACAGCTGGAAAGAAGAGGGTGGGGCAGATGGGGTGAAATGTGCAGGAAATGGTCCCAGACCCAGAGGCACTGGTCCAGGAACCTGGAGTTCTGGTCCTGGTCTGCCTCTGACTGCTAGAAATCTTGGACCAGTTTTTCTTCTCTCTGGGCCTCTGTTTCCATATGTGTGAAGTGAGGAAATTGGATGAGAAGAACTTTGAGCTCCTTCTAGCCTGGACATGCTTTGGAGTTGAGAAAGAGGGTGTGTGTGTGTATGTGGTGGATTAGGAAGCAGTTTGGGGGAGCTCGACATTATCTCAGGTATCCTGTATAGGTGTGGGCAGGGGGAAAGTGAAACAAGCATGGATGATGGTGGTTACCCCTTACAGGATGCTTGCTCCATGCCAGGCATTCTGCCAGATCCTTAGTGGCACAGACTCCTGGAATTCTCACAAGCCCCTGGTCAGGCAGGCCTCTCTGACCCTATTCTACAGGGAGGAAATTGAGCCTACAGCCTAAGTCACCTAAGGTCAGAGACCACAGGGCCCAGAGTGGCAGGGCTAGAACCCCCAACCCAGTCTGCCTGTGGGCTTCTTCCCTGAGCTGTCGGCACAGATGGGAACTTGGTTCCATCAACTCAGGTGTGCGTCAAACATCACATCAGATGATTTCTCCACCATGAATTCATCCTCATCCCACCAGATGGAAGGAAATTCCAGCTGTCACTGGCCCCCATCCCTAGGAGCCCCTCCTCTCCCTGTCTGAGGTCACCCTGCCGCTACTCCTGACTTCCTGCAAAAGTCTCGGGAACCGCATGCAAAGCAGGCCCTTGGGGAGGACTCCTGTCTGTGTACCCCCTTTTCTGTTACTCCAGATCAATTATTTGAATATCTTCTAAGGTCTTCTCAGACTTCTAGGCCACGCTTGCACATGAGGCGCTGTGGCGCCTTGGAACTTCCCCACCTCCTGGCGCATCCTTATTACTCACACCTCCAAGCCTCCTTCCGCTTTCTCTCTGTCTTGAAGATTCTCTTCCCCGGAGTCACCTGCCTTTCTCCTTTTAAGCCTTGCTCCGATCTGGGAGGTCCTTGCTGAATTTAGAAAACAGGAAGGTGGGGTAGTGTTCAGGCAGCTTCTTCTTTCAGCTCAGCAACCCAACCGTCCCTGAGTGAGGGAACAACAAAGGCCCACATGCTTTGTTGGAAAGAGGACACAGTGAGAATAGAAGATGAATGGCGGTCACAGGAAGGGTCCTGTCCCTGCTTTCTGACATGGCTGCTGCGGTGGGTTTGTCTGGCTGGGAGACTCGTTGGATTTCAGAGCATGTCTGAAGCCACTTATCCAGTCAGCACAGACCACTCCAAGGCAAGTCTGAGAAAGAGGGGGAGTTGGCACTGAAAAAGGGAGAATGGGGCCTGGCTTCTGGCCTTTTCCCAGGTGCCTGCAGTCAACAGCCTCTCGGCAGCTTTCCCACCACCCCCTCCCAGGATTCTTGCTCTGTGGGTGGAATTCCTGACTTGTACCACCCGAGCGTGGTGGGTGGTGCTGGGGGACTGTGTTCGGCAACTGGAACCAGCCAGAAATTATGTCAGTTAGACACACACCATTTCTTGTCACTGGACACTGCATTTGGGCCATGTGGACAGCCTTGAGCTTGGGGAGAGAAAGCTGTATCGACCAGCTCTCTCTGACTCCCGTCCCCTGCGGACCCTGGCAGGGCCTTTGCTTGGCCTGCCTCCCAGCTGCCCGCTTACCCAGTCTGGCTGACTCTCTGCATCTGCCCTATTTCACAGGCCAGGGAGGCTGGCAGCACGCCAGGCCCAGCTCACGTCAGTGGCTGTCTGGGGAGGGAGAGGACAGAGTCTCCAGAAATGACTGTAGTCCTGTGAACTGAGAGCAGGTGAAACCAGGGTGCCTTGATGCAGTGAGGAGAGATGAAGGTGCAGGGCCTGTCCCAAGTCTGGCAGACCCCCATGCAGAGCCCCTCAGTGGCCCCCCCCAGCTCTGATTCTCGGTCTGGGCCCTTGTACTCTAAATTCAGGTCTCATCCAGACAGACTGACCCTGCCTGTGGGGCCGGGGCTCCCAGACACTGGTCCTCTGACTGCACAAGCACCCGCAGGGGATGGAACAATTATGGACCCCTGGCTGTGCCCTAGATCTTCTGATTCAGTAGGTTTGGGGTGGATCCCAAGCAATTGGTATTTATTTTAAAATACTTGGATTGATTCTGATGTGTGGCCAGGTCTGGGGATTCAGTGTTCATGGGAATAGAGCCCCAGAACAGGGCCGGAGGTTTGGCTCCACTGTTGTCTCTGGCTGTTCACCTTTGTGCCTTTGGGGGTGGCACTCCTGGTCTCTGGGCATCTGTTTCCTCATCAGTGAAACAGGGCTAATCATTCTCACTGTGCCATCTCCATAGGATTAGCATCTCAGTCAATGAGGTAATGAGGTAATGTCTTCTGGGCACTCTGTGCTGCATTAGAATCAGGGGTGTAGGCTGCTGCTGCTCCTGCTCCTGTCCCGTCATCTCGCCAAACCTGCTCTGACCTCCAGGAATACAGACGACTCCACACCTCCAGCCCCTCTTCTAGGAACCCTGACACAGCTGACTCATAGGAGCATTTTATTTGTATCCTGGGAAGGGGAGGAGGGAGTAGAGGAGGTGGCGTGCTGTGGGAAATGGGGCTCCTCTAGGGCCAGTGCTCAGAATGTGATCCTCAGCTTGCTCCCTGCCCTGCTGGCCCACACCAAGACTCTATTTCAGGTTTCTGTCACGGCGAGGGAAGACGTGCCTGCCTTTGGCCCACCACTGCCCAGCCCCCCTGTTTTCCAGAAGGTAGGAAACCTTCTTCTCTCCTCAGCTCGTACCCAGGTTCACATCCTTGTGTGGCAGTGGTCAGAGTGGGGCTGAATTGGGCTGGGAGCTCCAGAGAGGACCTTTGGGAGGGTTGGGGAGGAATCCCCTTACTTGGGGTCTCTCCCCACTGCTCCTTGTGCTGCCAGCCTGGCCTAGCACAGGGCCTTTTGCCATAATGTCTGACTCTCGGGTACATTTCTGCTAAGAGAAGGGTTTTTATACTGTGCTCCACTCCTGGGAGCCATGGGCAAAAATTGCCTGTTGTAGAAATGACATGGGAGTGGGGGTGTGGGAAGGGTTGGTTCCCCAGAGCCGGGGAAGCTGGTTTCCATCTTAGCAGGTGGGCTTGGCCTTGGCTGGCAGCGATCAAATGTCTGAAGGGGACGTTTCAGGGATCTCCCCAGGCCCATACTCTGCTTACCTGTTACTATGATGAGAACCCTTTTGGCAGCAGCTGACACTGGGAGAGTCTCGGGTCTTCTTGTCTGTTCCAGGGCCCGGAGTTCAGAGAGTTTCTGCTCACCAAGCTCACCAATGCAGAGAATGCGTGCTGCAAGTCAGACAAGTTTGCAAAGCTGGAGGTGAGTTTCTGAAGGTTTTCCTTTGGCTGCCTGTTAGCCAGCTTCTCTTGGGGGCCTGTTCTTGGGGGCTGGTCATCTTTACCCCTCACGCCTTCATCCATGTGTTGAGATGGGAACTTTCTTCCTGTGGAAACTCCATTCAGACTTCAGGTCTGGTTGGCCATTCACCAAATACCTACTGTGTGCCGGGTTTTGGTCTCTTCTCTGGGACCCAGGGGGTAGTGGGATGAGGTTTCTGCCCTCGCAGAGCTTACAGGCGGGGGGTGGTAGGCACCATTACTAAAGAGACTGGACTGGTGTATTGTGCCAGCACTGCACCATGGTAGAGGCCACTCAGGGGTGGTGACTCAGGACAGCAACTGCTGCTGCCCGTGAGGAATGAGGTGGTGTGCAGGGGAGGCCTTTTGGAGCAGGTGGCCTGTGAGCTATTGATTGTGGATACCTGATGAATCTTGCGAGGAGGAAAATATGAGAAGGGTTATTCCAGACATGGGAAGCCATGGCCCGGCAGTTTCAGAGCTTGGCTCATGAGGTTGCTCCAGAGGGTTTGACATGACCTGAGAGAAGGGGGTGAAATGGTGGGAGACAGCTGGGATATTGGTTGGGTCAGATTAAGAAGGGCTTCGTAGTAGAGGTGAGGAGGAACTCAAACACTAAGGCAGGAGAGTGATGTGTTTGATTTGTGTATTAGAGGATTCTTCTGACGTGGTGAGAAGGGTAGATTGAAGAGGAGGAGGACGGAAAGCGTGGTCAGTTAGAAGCCATTGCAGGAGTCTGAGAGATGATGAGAGCTTGCTTGCACAGGAGGGAATGAATGATTCGGGGTCGGAGTCAGGCAGACTCGGACTACTCTTTGTAAGTGTGGTGGGAAGTGGAGTTTTAAGGTGGCTCTTCGCTGACACAGGAACACTGGGAGATGAATTCTGTTAGGACCAGCTGACCTGGAGGGGCCTGCAAAGACTGCCTTGCTAAAGGGACTAGTCCTGGGCTGTGTGATGGCGCCCCCTGGAGGCTGTGCGCATGGCTGTGGGTGAACATCTGGATGGAGAGGAGCAAGCAGTGGGCCGTGGTGACTGGGGCAGGGATCTGGCCTGGGAGTCAGCAGGGTGGAGCCATGGGAAGGTGAGATGGCCCAAGGAGAAGAGAAAGAGGTAACAGAGTCAAGGGCAAGGCCCAGATCTGTAGTGCTAACTGCAGCATTTGTGAGTGGGTTGCACCAATGCCAGGATGCAGTTGGCCTCAATAGCAGCCCTCAGACCAGGTGTTTGGGGCCCATGGGGAGAGGGCACATCTCTGCCCTCACTGCAAGCTCTTCAAGCTCTTCAAGCCTCACCCTCGCCCCTTCTAGGACCGGACGAGAGCCGCCCTCCTGGACAACCTTCACGATGAGCTCCATGCCCACACACAAGCCATGCTGGGACTGGGCCCCGAAGAGGACAAGCTTGAAAATGGGGGTCACGGAGGGTTTCTGGAGTCTTTTAAGGTATGGTTGCAGGATTGGGGATTCTGTGGCAGGGAAGGGTGGGGAGGGGTGTAAACAGGGGAAGAGTGATCCTGATGCCGAGTGCAAGTGCCAGGCAGGAGTGGCAGGACCAGCGGGGCATGGCAGGTGTTTGCAGAGGGCAGGGGCATCGGAAAGTGTGAGCGGCCAACAGTGTCTCCAGCATCCTTCCTTTATCTGGATCATCTCCCCCCGGGCCAGGGGTCTGACCAGCAGGGATAGGGAAGGAGTTCGCAGCAGGAAAAGGGCTGCCACAAGTCAGCAACAGCTTCGCTTTCCCCTGCTTCTTCCTGTGGTCACGGTCCCAGGAGCAAGGACAGAAGCCATAGAGGTGTTTAGCAGTCAGTGTGGGGTGCTGCAAGGATTCTTCCCAGTCGGACAGGCCCTGTTGCATGGAATTGCAGGCAAGTCCCTGTGGGCTTTGCAAAGGGAAGAAATTTCTAACCAGAACGAGTTGCTAAAGGAAGTGAGTTTCCTGTGCCTGGAACGGAGGACAGCTGCTTAACCAGCACAGGGAAAAGAAACTCATCAACATGTGCTCACTGAGTTCCTGTTGGTTCCCATGACCTACATCTGGTCTGAGCTGAATGTAATCCTGTGCGACTGGAAAAATGGGTCTTATTGTGGGGACTGGCTGAGAGGGGCAGCGGGACTGATCAAAATCTTGCATTACTTAGAGGAAAAGCCTTGTTTTAAACCCAGGTTTTCTGATTCTTAGGTCAATGTTGTACTGGGTTATTCACTGCACAATGATTTACAAAGCTATCATCTGGGAGGGGGTATGCGTGGGGCTGGGGTTGGACCTACTGGTGTTAGAATCTCAGTGCTCTGTGGTCCTGGGTGTGGTCTTTAGAGTCTCTGAGCTGCAGTCTTCTCATCCGTAATACAGGGATGATAAATAAGACCTCTGTCATGGAGTTGTTGGGAGAATTCATTGAAATAATGCCTGGAAAATGACACATCGCCTGGGATATGGTAGATGCTCAGTAAATGTTTTAGCAGTTACTGCTGTGTAGAGTGAAAGCTTAGTACATATTATCCCGTGTGAAGCCTCACAACTGCCCTCTGTGCTGCATGAGGAAGGCTATTATTATGGGCTTAATAAGTCATACCCAATTTTAATACTTATGGGTGTAATTTTACGTGTGAGAAAACTCACACAACTCAAAGAGACGACGTGATTTGTCCCAAGTGACCCAACAGACGTGGGAGGTGAATCCAGGCCTGCCGGATTCCGAAGGCCGTGTTCTTAATGCTACATGACACTGCCTTCTGGTTTCTGACTCAATTAAGATTCCACCCATGCTAGTCCGGCCTGGGCAAGCCTGGGGTCTGTCCCTTGCTGCCCGGCCGGACCGCAGAGAGCAGGGCATGGCTCTGCTGGCCCTGGTGGGGACCAGTTGCCGAGATTCCTCACCAGGGTGCAAGTGGGAGCCGAGCTGCTTGTCCAGACTGGTGGAGATTCCTGTGGCATCTGTTCAGTCCTGATGGACAGTGGCAGCCAGGGTGAAATAGGAGAAACTGGGAGATCGAGAGGACAGGAGGATGAGGGAGAAGAGGAACCGGGGAAGAAAGAGGGAGCTATGTCGGCCAGTCCAGCAGAGAGGGGTGAATAAATGACCTGGCAAATAGGAAGCAGGCTGGGTCTGGGAAAGCGGGTGAGCCAGGCCCCTTACAAACCTTGATATGGTGTGGAGCATCATGTCAAGTGTGTCAAAGTGCTCCCCATCCCACAGTAAATGTGAGGTATTTGAGCCGCAGTTGACGAGCTAACACAGGTTATAATCTGCAGAGGAGTGAGGAAGCACTGCTTGCTTTGAGTTTCGCAGGTTTCTTTCTGTATTTTAGAGTTTATTGTTTTTTCAGGTTGCAAATATTTTTTAGATCCTAGAAAGGCTTATAGGCTGTGTTTACTCTTCCCATGGTGTCCAATGAAGAAAATAGCCCTGCAGCTACACACAGGTTGCAACTCTAAAGGAGCGCGCCCAAGGCCACATGCCCAGGCCCCCTCCTCTGGCCTGAGTCACAGTTGATCTGCTTTGACTCCTGAGGGCTTGACTAAAGGGGTTTCTAGAAAGGAGACTTTCAGACTTTATCATTCTTTGATCCATCAATCTAGGGAATTCTTTTCAACCTTAAATCCTTCCAAGTGTAGATTGAGAGGGACCCACTTCTGTATCCCTCTACCAGGCCTGTCTCCATGGTAGCGCCTTGGCGTGAGGGAGAGGACGGACAGTCCTCAGATCTCTCACGGTTACGTCTGTTTTTCTTCTTCTGGTTGGCGTCCTGAGCTTTTTTGCCCTGTCCCTGCCATCACAGGCGTCCCTGAGCTGGGAGGCCAGCACCCGGCTAGGACAGTCTCAGGAGCACTGGGCCCAGGGACCTAGGAGATTCTGGTTTTGGGCTATGTCTGACCCAGCTCCGAAACCAGCTCCAGGTTTGGTATCTCTTCATGGGCGGCTTTGGCGCTGCTGCAGTGTCAGAATTACTGGCATTCCTCATGCAGACCTCCATGGGATCTGTCTTGAAAGAAGTGGTGCGTGAAATGATTCTGGGAAGAAAAGTTGCATGTTTTGTTTCCTTCCTGTCAAAGTTCTTGTCTCCCAGGCACAGGGTAATGTGAGTGAGAATTCCTAGGGCTAAGCGGCTTCTCAGCCACCCACCCTCTTGCCTCTAGGGACTGTTCCTCCTCCACCCTATGTGGTGACCACCCCCTCTCCTAAGATGCTTGCCTGTCTCCGCCCTGGCTCAGGCCACCCAGCACCTCCCGCCCCCGCCCCCACCGTGTAGCACAGCTCTTCTTCCCTCTCCCATCAGTCCTGCCTGCAGCCACGTAAGCTTTCCTTTCATGAGCAGCAGACCAGGTGGTTGATGGACAGCTAGACCTGTTTTTCCATCCAGGGTGCTGGAGATATTCTCAGAAAGCTGCCAATTCTGCAATCACTTTAACATTTTGCCTTTTCACTTAGATGAAAATCTTAAAAAAAATACATATTTCCAATTAAAGAGGCCAAACTGTTATAGGGAAACGTACCATTGAAAGGTATTTCTATGGAACAAGTAGGAAAGGCAGTCCATGGGGTCACTGGTGTTGGGGGTATGTGGATACTTTCTTGGTGTCTTTTGCAAGAATTATTTTCTTTATTAAGGAGCTGTATATGATTCACCTTTGAAAAAAACCTGATCTCTAGACTATTGTTCTCTAATGCCATTGTCAGCCACTGACAGCTGTTGATGAAGTTTTTATTGGTTTGTAATGAAATGAAAACGTGATGATAGGTATACAGAGCCACATTTTGAAAAACACTGAGCTAGTCCAATGCTTCATCCACCTCGAGATTCAGAGGGATGTTGGAGGACCAGGGAGAAGGCAGAACCCCCACCTACCCAGACCCTCTCCCAGCCTTTGAGGGCCCGTGATAGTTAATGCACTGGTCTGGTCTGCCCCCTAGTGGCCAGAGAGGCACATCACTGTAGTGTCCTTAGCAAAGTACCCTCAGGCTGGGAGGCTCGTAGCTCTTGGACGCAAGTTGTGCTCTGTGGGAGAGGAGATGTAGGGGAATATTTCCTTCTCCATCAGCTCCCATCCTTTATTTATATTTCTAGGGGGACAGAAGACCCCTTTCTGGAACTCAGAATACTTTCTGCTCAGGAGCTATAGCAGCAGGCTGGTAATGAGTGTCTCTCTCCAGAGGGCCCCTGCCTCTGTGGCGTGCCCAGTACAGATAGGCGGCCTCCCTTACTGTAGCTCTGCTTTCTGCGTCCCTTCTGCTGAATTTGTTAAATTGAAACAACTCACAAAACCCATTTGTCGGGAAGTGAGGTGTACTTGCTCCCTCCTTGGAGTTACCAGGTGTTAAAATGCCAGCTGAAATGAAATGACAAAAGCAGATAATGAGAAAAAGACACCATCCCTCTTTTCTCAGCCCCCCAAAAGGGAAAATTAAAAGTGTCCCAAAGGTTTGGAAATAATGCTGACAGAGGACAGCTATGGGTCCAGAGATAATTAACTGGAAGGATAGAGGACTTTGAAGACAGCTAGGAGAGTTGTGTGAAATAGAAAATAGACGTGGAAGACTCTGAGGTCTAGAAACAGCAAGACTGCAGCTCTTTTTTTTTTTTTTTTAAAGATTTATTTATTTTATTTATACAAGCACTGGGTACAGTCAGAAGGGCGGGAGGGTGAGAGAATTCACCAGAGCCAGAGCCGGGAGCAGAGCAGGCAGAAGGACCCAAGTACACTGCTGAGGGGAGCAGCGGGCGGCAGGAGAGGTCTGCGCGCCATGTGGGACCCTCCTCCGGTGGCCGGGGAGCAGCCGGGGATCAAACCGGCGTTGCAGAGGCTGTGGGCAGCTTCGCAACCCAGCGCTCAACCGCTGTGCCACCGGGGAGGCCCAAGACTGCAGCTCTTGCTTAGAAGATTTATTCCAAAGAGCAGGCTTCAGAACAGGTGGCTCTGAAAGCATCGGGTGGCTCATCCCTGTGAAGACAAGTGGAAGGAGCTGAAGTGTGACCTGGCCGTGCAAGGTGCTGCGTGGGAGACGGCCAGGTGGTCTGCATGGGTCTGAGGCCCATGCAAATCCTTCACCTGCCTGTCTCTCCTGCCTCCTCTGGACTACCATGGCTGTCCTTTTTCTTGGCACTCAGTAGGCCAGGCACCATAACACGTAGCTTATTGCCCACATCCTTTGTGCAAAGGGTGAGGACTCTGTCAGAACATAAATGGCGAGTGGCCATGTTGTTGCTAGTGAGGATAGTGGTGGCAGCACGTGCCTTCGGAACCTGGTGCTGAGATTCATGGGATACTCAGAGTGAGGCACCCCTTTCCTTCTCTCAATTTTCCAAAGGCTACGTGCCGAAGTGATCTGTGGATGATGGAGTGACTAGACCATGCTGGCCACTTTTACCATGTTGCAGCGCACTGTTGCTAAGTGTCAGCAGGCAGCTGTTTTGTGTTCGAGAGATGATGTTCCTCAAGGTCTCCAGTGGGAGAGCCTGGATGACATCAGGGGCACTAGGCCAGAAGGCTTGGTGCTTCCTTCACAAGAATATTCATTTCCAGACAAGTCATCTTTACAAATGGTCTCCTTCCTGAGTCGGTGTCCCTTGTTGGGAAAGAAAGGCGGGCAGGTAGTCCTTCACCTTTCCCAGCTTGGAGAATTCCTGACCTTGTGGAGCAACCCCAGGGGACTTCCTTTTGGGCTGGGAGCAGCATTCTTGCTGATTTCGAGGAACCACCTTGCTGTCGAAGGAGCCTCAGCTTGTCCCTCCATGCTTCATGGGAGGAAAGGGAGTTCTCTCCTCCTCATGAGGCATCTGTGGGCTGGCATGTGAGGTGCCTCAGCTGCCAAGAGCTTCATATGTATTCGCACAGCGACCCATGGTGGGGATACCCTCCAACCGTTTTGCAGATAAGTCTCAGAGACGCTTAGTAACCCTGACCTCAGCTAGGGGTGCTGGCGGGGAGAGCTCAGCTGAAGATCCTGGCAGCCCAACCCCAGCATTTGTGGTTTGCATCCCTGAGCAGCACTGCCGCCTGGATGTGTTGTTGAGTGACCACACAAATGATCATAGGGATGTGATATGAGGGCTTGTGATACTGAGAGAAACTTCCCTTCCTGGAACTCTCATGTCATCTTCGAGGGCCTCCTGAACTAGAGCACATCATCCATGTGGCCCTTGTCAGGAAATCGTCCCCTGGGTGCACCTGGGACCTGCCTCTCTAGGGTCACTCCCTGGGGGCTCTCATTGGGCACTGCAGGCTGCAGTGCATCCTGAAGGGTGGTCCTCGCTGCCGGGTCTCTGTGCTGTGGGCTCAGCAGTCATCCTGTAGATCCTCTCAGCTGTGCGCCTGTTCCAACGGCTCCCTGGCCATCCTGGTTGTCCCCTCCTGGACACTTGAGTGTTTGCCAACATGCCTCTGGCTCTTTGGTGACCTGAACAGCTCTGGGCCCTGTGAGCTGCTCCCCACGTCCAGTCTGAGCCCATGTCTCCTCTTCCAGCAGCTGTATGGGGTGGGGCTGGCACTGGCAGTGCTCTCAGTGTCCCTAAGTGTGAGGGGCGGCTTGGTGTGCGGGTTGGTGAGAGCTTCTTGCACTGGTCACCAGAGGCAGAGGTGTCCAGGGTGCACAGAGCATGCGGGCATGCTGCAGAAGGGACAGCCCATGTTCAAGTGTAGAGAGCTGGGAGAAGCATTCTGGAAAAAAGGAGTCAAATAGGAGTCAGGCACATGACTGACACTCCTCTGCCTCATGTCTTTCTGTGTGTAACATACTGTTCCCATTTCACAGATGAGGAAGCAGCAGCTCAGAGAGGTTGGCAACTAGGCCAGGGTCACATGGGTTCAGTGAGTTGCCCTAACTTCACTTTCCTTAACTGTGCAATGGGGATAACAACCTCTGTGGTGGAAAGAGGTTGGGGCACTGACCCCTTGGTCTCCTGCTGACTGCTGGCTGGTGCAAGGAGCCACCCATGTCCAGGCCATAGGAAAAAGATGTGAAAATCCTCTGCAAACTAGTGATTACAGTGTGGTGCTCAGAGAGGATGTGTGTGTGCGAGCACACAAGTGTTCCTGCCTGTGCATGTGGACACCACCAAGAGGGCGTGGTCAGCTGGGGCGGGAGCCAGGCTCTAGCCCTTAAGCCCATGTCACCTGCTCTGTCTGCAGAGGGCCATCCGTGTGCGCAGTCACTCCATGGAGACCATGGTGAGCAGCCAGAAGAAGCAGCACAGTGCGGGCATCCCTGGCAGCCTCAGCGGGGGCATCTCCCACAACAGCATGGAGGTCACCAAGACTACCTTCTCAGTGAGTGCTCTGGGCAGTGTGTGTGCCCTGGTGGGGGGGGGTGCGGGGGGCAGGCCTCAGAGGAGGGCCTTAGCGGCTGGAGGGGGATGGGGTAGTGGTGGGGCATGTTGGGGGAACAGAGGGACCCTGAGGTGACTGGGGGGCCTGCAATCCTAGCTCCATGGGTGCCTCCCTCCCTGGCAGACTAGGTGTGACCCCGCCTAGAAGCAATCCTGCTGTCCTCCGCTGAGTTCCTCCATGGGGGCCTCCTCCTCTGGGTCAACCCTGCAAAGTGGGTGTGGGGCACATTTCTCTCCCCAGGTGGGTGGGGCCCATGGCAGTAAGAAGTGGTGCCAGGACCAAGCCTTGTTACTAATAATAGCAGTAGCTGCCCGAGCTTGCTGCGCCCGTCACTGAGCTCAGTAATTCATGGGCTTTATCTTTTTGTCCCCAGCAGACAGAATTTAATGTAAAGAATTATTAACTCGGCGTCAATGTGCTGACTGCATCACTAATACGTAACATTCTGAGATGCTCTGTAAGGCAGTACTTTTGGCAAGTAGAGTTTTGAAAGGGCCAAGCATTGAGCACTTTCCATGTCATTTCTCAGTATAGTTACTCCTTTAAAAACTCTTTTAATAGTGCTGTTTTGTTTTTTAAATTGAGATAACAGTTTACAACACTGTGTAGCCTTCAGGTGCACTATTTATAACTTCATGTTTCACACCACACCCACCACCAAAAACAGACTTTATCTTGTGGTTGCTCTAACAGCTTTCTGAGGGCAGGTACTGATACGTTTTCCTTTTCACACTGGAGGAGAAGGAGGCCCAGAGGGTTTAACTAACATGATAAAGTTCACCCGGTTAAGAGGAAGAGCAGGAATTGAGTGCAGGTCTCCCTGATCCAAAGTTTTTTTCTTCACTACTGTGTGTGCAGTTCCCAGGGAGTGAGAGCCTGGCAGGTGGCGGGTTGGGGGTGGGGTCCCGTCTGTTTGCACCAGGGCCTGGCCAAGTGCAGGAACCATTTAGTTAGGTTCCACCCACCCCACCCCACCCACCCCTTTATTTACTCATTTTTTGAATTGAGCAACAGTCCTTTACACAATAAAACTGACTTTAGGTTTGTGTAGACCAGAGTTTTCTTTCAACAGCAGAGTTTGCCTATCATGATACTAGTAACTGGTATTATAATTGGTTTCACAGTCTGCATTTAATTTACCAAATATTTTCAAAGTTAATATTTTGTTCCTCTGCAAAGGCCAGTGAAGTGAGCAGGGCAATTAGTCCCATTCTGTGGAGAAGGAGACTGAGGCCCAGAGTTTCTCACCTTGCTCAAGTTTGCACAGCACTGAATGGCAGAAGTTGGGACCAGGGTTACAGGCCTGGTGGGCTCCCATCTCCCACTTTCATTGTCCCCGCACACGTGGCTCAAGCAGAACCACATCTTGGTGGGCTCTTCCTGCCTGTGTGTGCGTGGAGACTTGGTGCTGCTCTTCTCATTCTGTCTCGTTACTGTGACACTCAGCTTGAATCTATTTATTTGTGAACCGTAGATGTAAAGCCCTACTTCCTGTCTTCATGCTGCCCCTGTGTGACCTTGATCAAATCCCCTCATCCCTCATCCTCTTATTCTGTAAAGCAAGAGGTTGGATCAATTTCCTCTAAAGACCTGCAGTTTTGTGGTTCTCACTCTGTGACCTTTGAATCATCTTTTTCTCCCTCAGTGTATGGGCTCTCGTTAGGGTGTCTTGACCCCATGTTCCTCCAGGAATTCTGGCCTGTAGTGCCTTATTACCTGCGGCCTTACCTTCCTCTGTCTTCTTGTTTTGTGGGAGCTCCTCCAGACCTGTTGGGTGATTGCAGGAGCTATGTGCAGACCAGAAAGGGGATAAGGGGAAGGGGATCTGGGTTTGGGGTATGAGCACTCATTTTGGTGGTTTCATCCGCAGCCTCCAGTGGCGGTGGCAACAGCGAAGAACCAGTCCCGGAGCCCCATCAAGCGGCGGTCGGGCCTCTTCCCCCGCCTGCACACAGGCTCTGAAGCCCAAGGGGACAGCCGGACACGATGGTAACTGTCAGGTCCCCACCCTTCCAGTGCGAATGTGGTGTTTGTCAGCTCCCTGTTTTGTTGTTTTGCTACCATCAGCAGATGCCCCACCTTGTTGGGGAGGGGCCCTGTGCAGTTTCAGGAGATGGCTTCCCTTTCATCCTGGTCACCACTGCACCCTGAATCTCCCCTGTCACCCACTCAGCTCTTTATCCATTGAGGGAGATTTGGCCAGTCTCTGCATGGGACTTTTCAAAGTTATTTTTGTTGCATTTTAACCAAAACTAGAAACATTGCTTGAATGCTTTCCTTTGGCCTCCTTTTTCATTGCTCAGTCAATGTCCACTGTTATGGGGATATTCTCTTAGGCAGAGTTAATTGAACCTTCCTTTGGACTTCTAGAATGTTCTTTTTAGAAGCAACTCTCATATTACATCATACTTAGCCTATTTTTGTTGGTAGTCTTTCTGTTCCAATGAGCCCATTTGTTGTTTAATTCAGTCAGCAGCATTTCTTGAGTGCTTGCCTTGGGCTGGGCTCAGCGCTCAGACAAGAGCTACGGGAGACACCTATCTACCTTCCAGAAGCTTACAGATGTGAGGAAAAGGGAGGCTGTCAGGCTGGCTTCCACATTCCCAGCTTGTCTGCCCGTAGCCCTGGCTGGTGGCACCCTCCCCTGAACTTGGGTATGCAGCAGGAGGGACAGGTTTATGGAGGAGGAGGAAAGCTCTGTTTGGAAACTGTACATGTGAGTGAGTCCTTGGGACCCTCCCAATAGAGAAGTCTGGAATTCTGAGTGGTTAGAATCACAGGTGTTGAGCTTCTGAGAGAGGTCTTGACTGGAGAAGGAAAGTTGGGGTTCACCAGGGCAAAGGGGATGTTTGAGGATGGATCTATGGACAGGATGTCGGGGGTGGGCATGAAATGCCTGGGAAACTCCTGTGACCAAGGACAAGTGGGGAAAGCAGAGCCTTTGATGAAGACTGGGAATGAGAGATGAGGGAGGAGGAGACCCTGGGGAGGTTGGGCCCTCAGAGACGGGAGGAGAGAGGTCATTAGGGACTTAGAGTGCATTGAGGGATGTGTGCCTCCATGAGGGAAATAATGAGAAAGACAAAATTTTAAAAATGTATTTTCAGTTTTTTTTTTATTGATTAAACTTGCTTTTCTTACATTGTTGTTCATTTTTGTGCAATGTTTGATTTCTCCTGTCAGGTGTAGTCCCCATAATTCTTCCACCACCGCAGCACCTGTGAACTGTCACCCTAGTTCCTGTGCTCTTTCCTCCCCTTTTTGACCCCCTCCTCCCATCCCTGCTGTGAGCTTCAGCTCTGTGGTCAGCTTGCAAAGCTTGCAAGTTTTGTCTTTTTTTTTTTTGACTCTCTGTTCAGTTTCCCTATAATTCCTCCTATAAAAAACCCCATACAATATTTTCCCTTCTCCTTCTGACTTATTTCACTGAGCATAATCCCTTCCAGCTCTACACATGGTGCTGCAAATGACATGAGGCTATCTTTTTTGATTGCTGAATAAAAAAGACAAATATTCACAAGTGTTGGCAAGGATATGAAGAAAAGGGAAGTCTTTTATCGCTGACGGGAATGTAAACTAATACAGCTGTGGTGGAAAAAAGTTGGTTTTTTCCTCTGAGGATTAGACACAGTCACCATATGGCTCCGTGAGTCCACTCCTGCGTACATATGCAAGAGAAAAGAAAACAGATGTCTACGTAAAAACTAGCATCCAGATGTTCATGGCAGCATTACTCATAATAGTCCGAAGTGGACACAGTGTACATGGCTCTCACTTGATGAATGGGTGTGTAAGATGTGGTATAACCATAAGCTGGAGTAATAGTTTGCAATAAAAAGGAGGGAAGGACTCTTACATGCTGCAATGTTTATGAACCTCCAAAAGATCATGTTAAGGGAGAGACGCCAGTCACAAAAGACCACAACACATTGTTTCATTCTATTTCCATGAAGTGTCCAGGATAGGCAAATCTAGAGAGACAGAGATCAGTGGTCACCAGGGTCTGAGAGGAAGGAGGGGTGGGGCATGATGGTGAGCTTGGGGTTTCTTTTAGAAGGAAGGAATGTTCTAAAATTTGATAATGATGTTTTTACAACTCTGAGTACACTAAGGACAATGAATTGTGTATTTTAAATGGGTGAATTGTATGTGGACTTTTCTCTATAAAGCTGTTGTAAAAATAAAAACACATTGAGGTCCAGGCCATCGTGTCCTCACCCACTGGCACAGGGCAAATAGTGGGCAATGTGTGTGATCTTTGTTAAACTACAGTAGGAAGAGCCCCTCAGGTCCTGGGCTGAGAGTAGCCCATGTACCAGCGCCCAGTCACTTCCTCGCACTGTTCCAGGAAGCTCATTTGTGGTCTGTAGAAGGGCGTCCGCTGGGGTGTGGGGCAGTGGCCTGCCAGCACCCTGTCCACATGTGTTGGGTTGTCTCCCTGCTGTGTGGCGTGTGTGCCAGCCGCTCTTCCATTCCCTTTGTGGTTAGCTCTTGACCTAGAGCTCTGCCAGGCGCATGGCCATAATGGGTAAGGGGCAGACTTGGGTTCAGGGCATCAAGCCAGGACTCTGGCAGCTGTTGACCCTCATCCAGGAGCCTGGAGTAGCCCCTGATGGAGCAGAACACCCTGTCACCTGCCACCGTCCCTGAAAGGCGGCTCGGGTGGGAACTGAGGTCCTGGGGCAGGGACACTGTGACCTACAGAGCCCCACCCTGCCTGAGGCCTGGGGCTGGGGTGGGGCTTGGGTGCTGTTTTTGGCCTCACTTTTCTTCATCCCCGTTTCCTCAGCGACAGTGCATCCAGCAACCCTAAGACCCCGGATGGCGGGCATTCTTCTCAGGAGATAAAGTCTGAGACCTCATCCAATCCCAGCTCACCAGAAATCTGCCCCAACAAGGAGAAGTAAGAGCGTGAGGGTGGGGAGAGGGTGATGTGACTGCCTGGGGCTCTGCAATATGCTCGTTGCTCCAGGCCAGTTGAGAAGGGTATCTCTTGCCTTGGGAGCTCTGGACCACAAAAGCCAACTAGCAGTGGCGTGGGGAGCTTTTGGGGTACTGCTTGGCTCACTGCTAGGCCTGTACTACCCTCGGTCCTGGGGAGGGTCTGGGGGTCTCCGAGAATGATGGGGACCTGCCTTGCTTCCTGGTCCCTGCAGGCCCTTCATCAAGTTGAAGGAGAACGGCCGAGCCAACATCTCCCGCTCCTCCTCCAGCACCAGCAGCTTCAGCAGCACCGCGGGGGAGGGCGAGGCCATGGAGGAATGTGACAGCGGGGTAGGTGTGGCCCCAGACTACCTTGGGGAGCAGGAAGGCGCACCCTGGACCCCGCCAGACATCTACTCTGTGCATTATTAAGTTGCTACTTGGGCAGAGCCCTACTCCAGACCCTGCAGACAAAAGGAGAGGTCTGGAAACAGGAGGTGACTCAGCCAGCCACCCCCATGCCCTAGGTGCAGCAGTGGTAGTGGGGGGTCTCCTTTGGAGAGGCATAGGAGCAGCGGTGGAGGGTCAGGCCGGACGGAATAGTCCCTACCGCTGGGTTCCTGGCTGGAGGACACAATGTCAGCGCTCCAGGGGGCTGGGCCAGGTACTTCTGGTAGCGGGAGGTTGGAGTTAGAGTTGGAGAAAGAAGGAAAGAGCAGGCAGGTCCAAGCTGGGAGAGGGAGGCAGTGGCTGGAGGGTCTGGCGGGGCCCAGTCGCAGGCCTGCCTAGGCACCACCGCCCCCTGGGCTCTTAGGGGCGGGGCTGGCCCCTCACCCGGCCTCTTTCCCCAGAGCAGCCAGCCTTCCACAACCTCGCCTTTCAAGCAGGAGGTGTTTGTCTACAGCCCGTCCCTGAGCAGCGAGAGCCCCAGCCAGGGGGCAGCCGCCACCCCCATCATCATGAGCCGGAGTCCGACGGGTCAGTGGCGCCTGGTGGTGTGCGTATTGCGGGGTGGGGGGGAGGGGGCTGCACATGCCACACTGCTGACTTTCCGCTTCAGTCTCAAGTGTTGGGCGCTGCTGCTGCTAGCTCACCTCATCTGGTCTTCAGCAGGACTGCGTTCTTTTTTCTCCCAATTATGTTTGTTGAGGTAATATTCCCTGGTTTGATTTAGGAGTTGTAGGGTCAAACCTCTATACATGGATGTCTTCCCACCACACCCACCACCAAAGCCCAATAAACCTCCTGCTCCATTGGGCCCCTCCCTCCCATGCTCCCACCTCGCCCTTTCCCCTTCTGGTTGAGGCCTGCATTCTTATTCTTCCCTTACTCATGGGGAAATTGAGACCCAGAGAGTTCAGATTTGCCAGAGGAGTTGGAATTGTGTGATCCCAACAGTGAGGCTCTTTACTGTCCTCTTGTTTACCCCATCATTGCCCTGGCTGCTGGGTCACAGAGCTGACGCTTGTGTTGCAGGGGAAGAGGTGGGACAGGCCTTGAAGGTGGAAGAAGCAGCACATGAGAGTCCTGGAGGAAATTGGGGCTGTGTTCTGGAACCCCACATGGTTTAGTTTAGCTGGAGAGCATGGAAAGGATGGGTGAGAGCAGGGAGAGCAGTTAGGGCGACAGGTGGGGCCCTCATGGTTCTGGTGAGGATTTTGGTGTTATCCTGCCAGCAATGGAAGCCACTGGAGGGTCTCAGCATTTGAAGGCTCTGAAGTTGAGAAGAACTGTCTAGGGTTGAGGAAGACCATTTTGGTGCTGCAGCTGGCTGAGTGTGGAAAGGATTGTAGGAAACACATGCAGGGAGGGATGGGTGTCACTGTGAGCAGTGAGGGGTGGTGATGGGGCGGGCTGTGAATCTTGGGGTGTCTTGGGCAATGGGGGAAGCATGTGGATTCAAGAGATGTCAAGCAGTAAACATCTTTCAGTCTTCATAGGAGGGGGTGGGAGCAAGTTCTTGATCCTTGCAGTCAGCAGAGTAGAAGGTTCTGGGAACCAGTTCTGGAGGGAGGGTGAGGGCTGCAGCCTGAGGGCCATGCAAGCATATACGGTACCCATAAATCAAAGCCTTGGCCCCATCCTCAAGTTGGTGGCCTAATGGGGGAGGAGGAAAGTGTAGGACTTTGAAGCCTGGGTTTGGATTTTGGATCTCATACCTACTGGTGATGTGACACTGGGCAATTTCTTGAACCTTTCTGTGCCTCAGTTTCCCCATGCAACAAAATGGAGGGGGGAGTAGTTTCTACCTCATGTTTGACTGTGTGAAAATTAAGATGAGTTTATATTTGTAAGAGACTTAGAACTGTTAACCTACGTGTTTGTTCAATAACAGCAATTAAACAGTAGTATCACCAGTGGTTCTCAACTGGGGTGATCTTGCTCCCCAGGGCACATATGGCAAAGTGTAGAGACATTTTTGATTTCATGATTGTGTGTGGGCATTGCAGCTGGTGGTCAGAGGTCAAGGATGCTGCTAAATACCCTAAAAATACAGGACCCCCTACCCCAAACAAGGAGCTTTCAGCCCCAAATGTGAGTAGGCTAAAGTTGAGAAACTTGTCTAAATGATGGAAACTCAGAGTGGGCCAGTGGGCCAATGGAGTGGTTTATGCTGATGTGCTTCTGGGGTTCTCATGTGAGGAAATGTGGGCACAGGAGATATGTGCTGTTGGGGTTAAAGGGAGGACTGCAGTTCCAGCCATCCTGGTGTGGCTGGGAAGCCCAGGAACTGGGTTCTAATCCCTCCTGCTACCTTGCCGGGCCCACCTCTGAGCTTTGGTTTCCTCATCTGTAAAGTGGGGTGGTGGTACAAAGTCCCTGATTTTTTTAAAAAAAGACTTAATTAAATTTTGAAGATATGAATGAAAAAATCTGTAACCAAGCTTACGTCCTACTTGGTGCTAAATAAATACCATGATAAATTAGGTTTTAAATAAAGGGAAGTTCAGAGAACGCCTGCAACTTACTGAAGGTGATTCCGAGCCAAGAGGGACCTGGAATGCGTCTGAGACCTCCTGCCCGGTGCTCATCCCAAGGCACAGCTCTCGGCTCATAATCCTCAGCCCAGAGGGGTTACCTCACCCTCCAGCCCCATGGAAGTCGTGCTCTGTGCCCACAGGACCAGTGTGAGCTTGCAGAGAGCTGGAAACCTGCCATAGACTTTCAACTGTGCCCGGGGAGGGACAGGGCAGAGGAGAGGGAGGTGGTCTGGGAGGGCCTGACTTAGGTCTTCAGTAATCTCAGAAGTCACAACCTTTGATCATTTCATACCTGGGGGTCCTGGGGTGCTGGGAGGGGTCTGGTGGGTCAGACTGAAAGGTATTCACAGAGCTGAGTAGAGCCCTTCATTGTGAGGTTTCACAGGTAGATCGGCAGCACCTAGGTGGACTGTACCGAGCTGCACATTCCCTTGGCCAGAGGCAAACCAGAAAGCCAAATGCCCCAGACCAGTGGCATGCTGGTATTCATGGAACAGCTGGCTCTCCTGCTGCTCCCTTGGCCCGAAGTGAACGTTTACTGTAAATGTTGCTGATAGGAAGCCTCTGAAGTTTACAAATAGTAACATACACTATCCTTTACTGTAAATCTCATACAGCCCATAGAGTCTTACAAAACACTTTTATTGATATTTGCCTAACCTTGGAGTCTGTGGCCAACCTAAGGCTGCAGATGAAGAGCTCATGTGGTTCCAGCATGAGTGTGATTGGGATTATTGTGTCAATGACACAGACAACCTCTTTAATAGTTTTCAAATAGGGGAAGAGTGTTTAATTTTTTGTACTAATCATAATGTGATGCTTACAGGGAATACATTTTCAAGTTTAATCTGCTGTATGAACATCTTCTCCATTAGTTTCTTAAGTCTGGACAACAAAGCCATCAATCAAGCCCTGATCTGTAGCAGTTGCTGATTTCTGTGGCATGGGTACCCCTAACCATGCCTGGTCTTCAGCGGCTGACTGCGGAGGTGTCTCTGAGAGTGAGTGGACATTACCACGCAGATACAGTGGACCTAAATTAGCTGAAGAGACTCGATAATGGGAAATGTCATGAAGTCACTAGGAAGTGAATTTTGATGAGTTTATTAGTACTTTTGATGTGTATAATTCGTTTTGCTGTAAGCTTATGTAACTGTAAAAAATGACTATTTAATCCTAGCTCACAATAGTTCAAAAAAAATCAAAGAGTTGGCTCTCAAGTGTAGGTGCAGGTCAGCTAGAAGGCCTGTTGGAGGCAGAGCACCCTGCAGTATCTTAATATCTCTCTCTTTCTCTCTCTGTTACACACACACACACACACACACATACACACACACACACACTGCACCTCAGTAACCTCTTCAGCCCCTCCCTCTTCTCATGGCATTCTTCTTTTTCCTAGATGCCAAAAGCAGAAACTCCCCAAGGTCAAACCTGAAATTCCGCTTTGATAAGCTCAGTCATGCCAACTCTAGTGCGGTAAGGATCATGGGGGGTGAGGAGTGGGGACCACGGGGAGCCTCCCATATCCCACATTCCAGTCCTCTGGAAATTTCTGGTCAGATCACGGCTGATGCTGTGGGTCCCCACAGGCTGAGGCATCATCCTGGCAGCTGCCGGCCACCTTTGCCACACTTCCTGTGTTGGGGCCACATCCCTGGACATGCAGATAAGAGTTGTGGACTGTTGACTCCAGGGTCCTTGAGTCCCTTCCGGAATTTGTCAGATTACGGAGAGCTGAGTGCTCAGAAGCTGCAGTTGGTGGGGATTATGTTGTCCTGTTATTTCAAATGCTTATGTGGATTCTTCTTGAAACAGGGTCACTAATGTGAAAGAGGAGTCCTTCATCTGTCAAAGGTAAGTCAAGCGTTCACCCTGCTGTGGCCATGAGGGAGGTGTGTCCCTTTAAGATCAGGAAACCAGGGCCACCCTGGTGGCACAGCACTATGAAGCAGTCTGCAGCCTCTGCAGGCATGAGTTCGATCCCTGGCCAGGGAGCTACCCACATGATGCAGCAGACCTCTTCTGTCTCACCTGCTGCTCCCCTCAGCAGTGTGCTTCAGTCATTCTGCCTGTTCTGCTCCCCACTCTGTCTCTGGTGAATCCTGTCACCCCCCGCACCTCTAGCCTGTATCCCAGTTCTTGTATGCATAAATTAATAAATCTTAGAAAAAAAAAACAACAACCAGGAAACCAGTGGCCTGACAACCTGAGAAAGGCCAGTAAGCCTTACAGCAGGATCTCTCTAGTGGAGACTGGAGAAAGCAGGGCCAGTCATTTCTGGCCTGAAGCCAGGATAACGGGGCCCAGGTCTGCTGGGGGAGAGGGCCGATGGCCTCTGATGCAGTGAAGGGTTGCCTGATAGCGTTGGGTCACGCTCATTGCCTTGGTCTCCTTCCCCCAGAGGAGCCAGGCAGCCCAGAGCCACTTTCTCCCGGGGTGGGGGCTTTCTTAGCTTGCCCCCTTGCCTCCCTGCTTTTGGCAGCCTTTCCCTCCTTGTGTCTTCAGGCTCTGGGCCGAGAGGTGTCCTCCTTGTGTGTCCAAAGATGCCCTAGCCCTCTAAACACTGGGTGAGATGTCCCCAGAGAGGACCCCTGTGCCCAGCCTCAGCTAGGGGAGGGTGTGGTTTCCAGCGAGCAGAGCATCAATCCAGCTTGTCACCAACGCCTGCACGCCTGCTGGTACCTTACTAGAGGCCCATCTGACTTCCCAGGGGTCTCGGGGGTCTGAGTCACAGTTGGAATCAAGGGGAGAGGCACAGCTGAGCCCACTTCATGTCCACCTGCCTGTGACAGTGGGCTGCCGACACCTCCAGCTCCCACCCTGTGCTCAGGTGCCTCTGCCCGTCAGTCTTGCTTATGCCCAGCTTCCTGGGGTGTGCCACCTTTGCTCTCGGTGCCCCTGCACCTGGCACTCTCCTTCTGCGTGTTCAGTGGCCCATAGTCTTGGCACATGTGCTCGCCCTCACTTTACCCAGTGTTTGCTCATCAGCTCCCTCCTCCTTGTCTCCTGCAGGGAATCCCTGATTCTGCCTCAGAGAAGGCTCCTATTCCAGCAGTTTGGGGGTGCCATCCACTACACTGACCGTCACAGGACTGCTGGCCCACTGGCCACCTGCCCGCCAGACTGGCTGTCTGTCCCTGTGTTCCTACCTGACCATCCCTTCATCAGGACGCCCTGCGAGCCCCTCCCCATCTCTGGACAAGGCCTTATTCCTCCAGGCTCCCCCTGCTCCTGGCCGCCGATGTGATGTGTGTTTCAGTCACTTGTCATCTCCTTGTGTCTGTGGAGGAAAGACTTGGCTCTGGTTACCAGGACTCAGTCAGAGACCAGAGAGGCGGAGAGTGGTGAGGTGGGAAGTAGAGGCCGACAGCGCCGTGTGCTCAGTGGTGGTGGAGCGCATTGTGACTGGTGGTGGAGGGGGACGTTGCCAGGAGCCAGGGTTTGTAGCTGTTCTTGGGCAAAAACAGCTCTCTTGCTCCCACATCTCTGGAGCTTCCAAACATCTGTTTGCTTCTGTGCTAGAAACTTCTTCTCTGTCTGCTGACCTCGCTCCCAGGGCTACCTGCATCCCTGCTGCCAGTGTACCTTGGCCAGCCCAGCCTGTGGAAGGGGAGACAGAGCTGGGCGTGTGTGGGAGCAGGTGCCAGTCTCTTTCTTGATGGCAGCTGCAGCTTTTTGTCTCACCGAATGTCCCACAGGCTCCTTTTGTGGCTGCTGAGAGAGCAGCCCTCTGTCAGTCTCTCTTCTGTGAGCAGGTCTTTTGCCCACGAAGAGGTGGGCATTCAGGGGTGAGAAGGAATTTGGGGAGTACAGGCTGGTGGGCCCTGGGACCTTGGCTGACGAAGACCTCAGGGCTGAGGCTAGGCAGGGATCTAGGTCTCCGCTGGAGATGGGGTTCATGCGAGACATCAAGAGAGACTTGAGCCCTCCCCTTAGTGGGAGAGTCAAGGTGGGGCTGACTTGTCAGATTTGGGCAGACTGATGTGTGAGTGGAGACCCGGTGTAGGGATGGTGTAGTGTCCTGCAGTTTAAGTTCCTGGCACCCATGGAGGCCCAGTGCTGCTGGGGGGCCCTTTCCAGCTATTGTGCCCTTGGACCGTGTCCAGACATTGACCTCAATCCTCTTACCCTTTCCAACTTCAGGTCTGTAGGCAATTGTCACATCTGTGGGATTCTGCAACCTGGACCCCAGCTGGTGGGGTTCAGACACCATAGCCCTGTGCCTCAGTCAGCGCCTCCTTCATCCAGATGAGCCAGCGGGTTCTCTGAGGAGCAGCCTCCCCCACAGTTCTCACCATTCCGAGTCTGCAGTGTGACAGGCCAAGGCTGCTTCTGGCCTAGTAGGGCTTTAAGGTAGGGGGTTCTCCAAATAAAGCAGTCTGAAGAGCAGATTCTGGGAGGTGCTGCAGCTTTAGGTGCATATGGGGCCTCGTGACACCAGGCTGCCGGGGGATGCTGGCCGGGCTCCTGTTATAATGAGCAGATGACAAGGATTTCCAACCAAATGCTTTATTTGCATTGGGATCTGGGCCTAGTCCCAAGTCAAGGCATCTAAATGTTAAACTTGGCTCCTCCCCCCCCCCCCCCCCTACTGATGTGGCAGTTTCTTCATGGCTTTTACCATTAGAGAGAAACCTTGATCCTTCTATCCGCTACTCATGGTGACTCTGTGGGATCCTATTTGTAGGCCTGGAGGACCTTTCTCCTTGTAGTATTTAGGAAACGTGTTTACTCAAAAGTATTAGTCCAGTAAAATTTATTCTAGTTAGAAGGTCAACAAAACGTCTGTTAAGCTTTTATTAAAACCACTGTGGCACCACCCACTGGAAGGAGGCCCGTGGATTCTGGCAGGGAGGGCTCTGTTGGCCGGGTTTCGGAAGGAACTGGAAGGTCATGCTGCATTCTTTAAAAGCTATTCCAGGTCCCGGCTTGCTTCTCTGGCGGCCGGCGTTTACCGCGGCTTGGGCGTCGTGCTGTGTTGTGTCCTAGTCGGGGGTCCCCCGAAGTTTCCAGCTTGTCCCCACGCTCTCCCATTTTGGAACCTCATCCCCACCTTTCCCCTGCTCTGTCTGTTCTCCCTGCAACCCCCACATCCTGGGAGTGGCCAGAATGGTTGTAGGTGTCCCCGTAAACTGAGAGGTGCAGGCATGCCCCCCTAAGGCATTTGAATAGTAGCACCTGAAATGTCTCTCCCTCTGGGTCCTGTGTCACTATCACTAGAAAGTCCATTCTGTGGCTTACGGTGTGCATGGCCTGCCCTCCTGGGGTTCCAAGGCCGAGGGGAGGAGGTGGGGAACAAGGACAGGGCAGGCTCCCTCGCCTCTCTGGACCGCGGGGAAGGCAGCTTGAATCCGGGAGGGTTGCTTCACCCACGCTCCACTTGCATCAGCTCCAATTCAAGATGCCTTTCCTTTTACTGCTGCTCCTAGTCTTGGGGCTCAAAGATTTGCTGAAGCCTCATGGGTCCCTGTGACTAGACAATCTGATGGTGCTTGCTGCCCCGCTGGCTGGCATTTGCGGCTTTCCACTGGTGAGCTGTGCATGGGAGCTGTGTCTGCACCTCTCTCTGGCTCTGGGAACCGCCTGACTCATGAACGGAGTGATACCTCTTCAGGCTTTGTAGGGCTCCATATGCCTCGATGCAGTTGATGCTTAAAAACAGGCACAGAAAAAGCTCGAGATAGAAAGTCTTAGCTAGAGTTTCTGTCTATGCCAATGAATGGAAAATCATGTTTCTTGAAAAACATTCTGCCTCAGCCTTGTCGACATCATCTTGCTGTCTCGTCCTCTTTGGCCCCTGTGACACCCAACCTAACTGTGTCATCTTCAGATGGGAAACTTGAGGCCCAGTGAGGGGAAAATGACTTGCTTGAGGTCACACAGCCAGCTAGTGGCATAGCCCGGGGTAGAGCCTGCCACCCAGGGCCTTTCTTCGGGACAGCCTACCTGGGTGGTTGACAAGTGGCTGCAATCTGGGGCACTGAGTTTTGCTGGGGCCTCAGCACTGGCTGGGAAGTATCAGCAGTCAAGGGTGTGGGGGGGAGGGGGTGCCTTGGTCTCTGTTCTTTTCAGCAGGAGTGATTCTTTTGGATTTCCTGGCGAGGATCCTGGGGGTTTAGATGTGGCTTGAGCAAAGAAAACAAGGAGGGAAAGAGATTCTGTTGACACTGGTTTTTCAACTCTGGTCTGTCTTGGTGGTGGGACCAGGATGAAAATGTAATTAACCAACCCTTGATTTCCCCGTCGGTGGTAAGAGAGAAATCTCAATTCCCCCTGATCTTCAAACAGAGCTGGTTAATGAAATGTAGGTTCACATGAAGAGGCAAGACTAGAGCCCTTATCACTTTCTTTCACTGGCCCTTTAAGTTAAGTGCCAACTCAACACTACCTTCTTCGTTCAATTCTGAGTCAGTAGAAACAAGTCCATTGTCTTGGGGTGCTCGGGGTGCGAGTAGATATTATGGCTCCCTGCTCCAGCAGGGAGCAGACAGTCAGCCATGCTCCTAGAGCTCATGGCTCTTCCTCATGACAGCTCATTGCTGTCCTGTTCTCAAAGGTGAGGGGTGGGTCAGTGAATTTTGTCAAGGTACGGTCTTGTAGGACTGGCTGGGGCACTTTCCTACAGGTTCTGCTATCTGTTTTAACCCGCCTCCAAACCCACGTTTCCCCAGTTCAGCTGGGTCTTGTGTCCCTTAGGAAGGAAGGAGACATCCCTGCAGGGGCAAAGACAGTGAGCCCTGTCTCCTGAGAGGCTGTTGGGGCAGTATCTCTTGGGTGCCTTACCAGCCCTGGAGAGAGGATGTTTGCTGGAAGACTGGAATTTCAACGCCGTTGTCTTTGATTTTGTGACATTTCTGCTTGGAAGGGTTAACCCCCGCTTCCTGCATGTGTGCCAGCTCTCCCCTGTTGCAGGTGTTACCTTGCCACACTCCAGCGGGGAGTGCTTTTATGTAAGTGTGAAGAGCTCTCTGTGTGTGATAGAACCTAAGAAGTGCAACTTGAAAAGGGTGATTCGGGTGACGATTAACCTTTCTTTCTTTCTTCTTTGGGAGGAGGTGATCTGTAGACCCCAACTGCCTATGTAATGTAAATAGTGTACATTTAATTTATTGCTATGTTACCACATTGTATTTGTTAATGTATAAAACAAATTCTAAAAGGCCCACAAATGTATATTTTGTTGCTTATATGTGTCTTTGCAGAAATTGACAATAAATAACATATTTTGTGTCCATCAGTGTTCAAACTTCTTTGCTTGGGGCCCCTAAGCTTGAGCACTGCCCTTCAACTCCCCAGGCTTGAATGCTGGTAGCCTGCAGGTCATAGTGGGCCTGCAGATGTGTTATCTGGACCTGAAAAGTGTTTGAAGTAGTTTCTGAAGTTTAAAAACCTTAACCCCAAGCCCCACAAACTGACCATAATTAAAACTTTAAAAAATTAGATATTTCATATAAAATCTGAATTTTCTGCTTCTCTTAAAAATCAGATACTGATCCACTTCTTAGCAGTGGCGCTAATTGTTCAGAGCTCACTAGAGGCTGCTCCTTTCCTGGGACATTGAGTGTCCCACAGTCCCCATCACTCCCTATTGTTTACACCTGGGGCATTCCACTCAGTCCTGTTACTTGCTTGAGCTCTGTAATCAGATGAGCTGAGATTCCTTCAATTCATTCGTTTCCACCCTGCACTTTTCTTCCTTTTGTCCATTTTCTTTCCAGAGTCCTATTCACTGCTGTAGGATTCTTTCATGATTAAATTCCCTCTCTCCTGTTCTCCTTTGACTTCCAAAGTTCTTAAGTATACTTTGCTTTACAATATTTGGATGTAAATTTAGAAGTAAATCTATATTGTTTTTCTTAAGAAATTTTATGGTAAGTGATAGGACTTTATTTGTTGAGACTTGGTTGTGTGGTCTTCAGCAAAATACTTTCCTAGGTTTGCAGTTTCTTTTATCTATAACCAGAAAAATAATCCATATGGAAAATATGAAGATAAAAATGAGTTCATAGTTTGGAGAGAGCTTTAAAAAACAAGACAAGTGTAGTTCAAGCACCAGAAGTTCAGTCATAATTGTTATTATGATAATAACTAATAGCAACTGACATTTGTTGAATGCTTACCATGCTCAGTATTCACATGCACTCAGTTCTGCTAGAGCAACATATTTGTTCCTAAAAATCACAACGTTTTACAAAATTGTGCAACTACAGGGCTTATGGAAAAAATAGGGCTAAAGATGTAATGCTTAGAAAACTTGTCAGTGACACATAAAAATAAGGTAGGTGCTCAATGAAATTGGCAGCCCAATTTTACTCATGACAAATGCTTGAGAAATACATAAATATTGCAGTGAACATGGCATTTTGCTTTGAAACAGACTTGAAGTTTGATTGTGGAAGTTGGAAGGGTTGCTGCGTGAAGAGGCTGGATGAGAGCTTTTCTGGAATCGGACAGACAGTGGTGACACCAGATGTGGGTGGGTGCGGCTTGTGACACATGATGTGCTGTCAAAGCTGGCAGGTGTTTGAGGTGTGTGCACGCGGGTTTTGTGTGTTCCTACTCAGCTCAGTTCAGCTGGGTGCAGTTTTCTGTGGTCACATAGAATTCCTCAGGGACAAGTTGCATAAACAAACATACGATTTGAGTGTACTCAGTTTTTCCTCTATTGTATCCATTGCAATGGACCAAACTCCAAGTTCCAAAACAAGTTTCACAGCAGAACTATTACCTCATTAAGGCACGTGTTGTTGTTTTCTCCATTTACTTTAAGTATCCATCAACTTTCAGTCTGGAATCCCAGTGATGTATTTACATGCTGACCTCAACATGCAGGTAAGTGTTGGGCTGTGGGGCTCTGGGAACATACGGCAAAGTTCATTCCAGCTCTGGTTTCTCTGCTCTCCTTGGAGCGGCTGTCCTGGGGCCCGTGCCTGCAGCGTGCGGCCTGCTGTCATCATATCCCTGCAACGTGTTGCCTCATGTGGGTGTATGGTTTCAGCCTTCATGAGACTTGGAAGAGTTTCTCAGAGTTTTAGGATCCATCTGTTGGAACTGTGGCTGCCAGTGAGGCACACAAACACCCCGTGCCCATCTGCACCTTGTGGTTGGCTGTGTCCTAGGTTCAAGCCTTCTTCCCAGAAGCCGGGGATCACAGATTCTCCAGAGCCTTTGCGGAGGTCAAACATCTCCTGCCTTGTGGGAAAATGCAGCGGAAGCCCAGATGCCATCCAGTGGGCCAGTGGCTGCCTCTCCAAAGCTTCAGACCCTCCTAAGCACTGCGAGCTCCCCTGCCTCAGTGTCTGTGCTGACGTTCTTTTCCGTAAGATGGGCCTCTGCTCCAGGCTAGGAGCTCGCTCTTAGAACTTTTGAAATCGGTTTTCCCGCCTCTTTGACCATCAACTCGAGCAGTCACTGGACTTCTCCCGGGGCTGCTGTTTTGCGTGCCCCTCAGGCTGTGCTCAGGTTTTCTTTCAATCTCATTTTTCCAGGGCCTGCTGTGTCCAGTGATGCTGCCAGCTGTGCTCTGGCCAGCTCTTCTTTGCCCTCTGGGTAGCTCCAACACCAGCATCACAACCAATTCTTT